TAAAGCTCTCTATTACACTCCTCCCAAATCCCAAATTCCAGTATTGTCCTGGGTAAATCACTGAAACCTTGTGTTCTCAGCACTTGAAATCACTGAAATCCTGAAATCACTGCCTGAGGCTTGATTCTGTTCTGTCCCACATCTCAGAGCACAGGGAGGCTATGTGCTGTGTGCTCTGATGTGCTATGAAACTTCTATTCGACACTAACACAAGCCAGAGATCTTGAAGTTCTTAACCTCAAAAGGATTTGTTAAACATTTTCCTGCATTCATTGATTTCTTAACCTCAGGATGCTCAAACAATGTAATGTGCTTGCAGAAAGACTTCCATTGCTTAAGCAAACACAAGGACCTCAGCCTGTACCCTCAACATGCACAGGTTAAAATAAAATAAAAAAAAAAGTGTCCCCTAATGTTTATTTTTCCAGACCAGGATTTCATGGGAAGCTCTGAAAGTGTCTCTTTTAATTGCTTCAGAACAGAGAAATATATAGAAGCTGCAGACTTTTCCAGAAAAAGGAAATCTGGCTCTTGTCTGGCTGAAGTTACCACCAAGCTGAAACGACTTGAACCAGAAACCTTGCCAGGAAAAAAGAAGACATACTTGGTGCATTTCAGCTATGCAGCCTGACAAAGTATTTGCTTACACATTGTAACTTTCGAGAACTGCACTGTTGATTTTAACTCATTTCCTCAAATAATACTCAGTTATTGGCAGCAGGTTGCTTAATACAGCTGTGCTAGACGCTGGAGAAGAATGGGGCTTGTAAGAAGTGCTTTAGTAACGGAAGAAAAATGCATTTCTCAGCTGTTGTTCTGGCTTATATCTTGCACTTATAGTCCATCACGTCAGGAGTTGGCAAGTCCAGGACTGCTGTCACATCGTTTCGGTCAGCTGGGCATCACCGGACAGCCGGCCTTCCGCAGACACATTTATCTTTGAGATGAGACCAGTCTTCATTCGTAAAAGTAGAACAAGGGAGACATCCAGCGGCTGGACCGCTGAAGTGTTTTTTACCCTACCTAGAGACAAACTCAGGGATGTTCTAACATGTATAACAAACCATCCCTACACCAACCACGAGATAGAGACACCCCCCAAAAAATTGTTCCACTGGCTGAAGCACTGCTGTCATCCCTGCTGTATATTTTTCCTGCAAGCTACAGACTTCCTTGGTGTACACCAAGTCCCACGTGTGGGCCTCACTTTCTCTTGCAAGATTACCTTCATCAGTTTGATTCTGAGCTCAGGGACTTGGTGCAGGTCTATTAAACTCTATGGAGCTGTGGTGATTTGTGTCAGCCCAGAAGCTCATTCTAAATGTCTCACCATCCATACATGTGTTTTTTCACACCTACCATCTTCTATTCTAATATCCTCTCTAACCTTAACCCTGTACTACTTCTTGTATCTGTACAGTAAATAGACTTCCCTCTCACTACTGATAGAAAATTACAGAGAATCAATGTGGTAAATGCTGCTATTCAGTGGTTTGATCTTCATGTAAGAGCAGGCAAAAAAGATACTAAATTTACTACTATAACTAGTGGTGTCTACAGAACTAGTTATAAAGAGTTTCTATCTTTACAGTCACATCTGACCTGTTTCCTATATGTAAAAATACAGCTTCTTTGGAAACACAAATGGGCACAGTGGGGCTTAGAAATTCAATTGTTAAGACTTTGCTAGTAAATTATCACAGCACCTCTGTGTGTGGCAGCAGTACAAATTTCGGGCTGGTCTGTCAGATTTGCTAGGTTGTGCTCACTTACCTTGCTAGTATCTTTTGGATCTCTCTGAGAGCTGGAAGTAATAAAACAACTGCACTGGCTCTAATGCATTCCTTCGTGCTGGTGGACGTCTCTGGGAGGATAAAATTAGATCAGTAGGAGAAACTCTTTGCATTCCTTACAGAGCCTTAGAGAAACGCTGAGGGATGGAAGCCTCAACAAATGTGGATGTTGGCTGCACTGAATTTGAAGTGCATATATAAGGCATTTCACATTCTTTAGTGTGCTTTTTATAAATCTTCTGGCAGAAGTCTAAGCAAGTGGCCCAGCTGGAGTTACCGATTGTAACTTCCAGAAGCCGAATTTGCCGAGTTCCAGCGCCTGCTGCTTGCCTTGCCTTGCTCAGTTGGAATGGCTCCCTGCCCCACACCTCCCTGCTTGCAAAGTCCTTACTTATGCTCTAGCAGCCGCCACAAGCAGAGCTCCTGTGGAAGGAGCATCGCGGGCAGTCTGACATTCCAGTATGAATAAGCCCTACAAAATGGTCTGTGATGGGACTCTGCGTGACACAATCGAGGACACAGTATCTGAAAAGTTTAAGGACTGACCCCAGGGGATATTTGTACAGATCAGTTCTGCAAAGACTGAATTTGTTTAGTGAAGAAAATGCTGTATGGTATGCTGCGACTCAAAAAACAGCAACAACAAAAAAACAACCACAAACCAACAACATATACTATGTTTAGATACTTTTGGGTGTACATAAAGTCCATCTGGTTTGCCTGCCCAAGGACAACCCATCCTCACCAAGAGGTTCCTTGTCTAAGGAACCACAGAGGATCACAGTTCGTTGTTCCCGTCTCCTACCAAAAGTGATGTGAGAGGCACAGAAAAAGATCCTTCCTCCCCAAATCTTCCCGTCGCTAACATGAACACAAGTCCATTGAGTGCAAAGAAAAGACAGCTTTTTCTCTGAACAGCAACAATACAAGCAAATGTACGCTTTTAATTCCATATGATGGCCACAGCCATAGCTTTCTACGGGGACGTGTTCCCAGCTTCCCAAAGTGGCCCTGCAAATTTCTGGCTAATCTGGACAAGACTTTTTTGAAGGATTCTGTTTGTCACCTGTCTGTAACAGCTGCAAGTGCCTGTTTCAGATACTTCAGGGGTACAGAAGTTGTTCTTTCTCTGTGAGGACAGCTGTCTGCCAGATCAAACCAGAAAAGAAATGACTGAAGATGAAGGCACAGAAAATTGGGTCATTATAATAGAACATTCTTCCCTCTGATTTTTCAGTTCTTGGATCACCTCCTTACTTCTGCTTTGTGTCTGACATGCTATTGGTTAGACTGCAACATCTCCGCTGCAGCAAGTGCAGCTTCCCAATTTTTTGTGCTCAGATATAGAGCTCTTGGGTTATCTTGACTCGTCAATAGAATCTGTAAGCATTTGTTGTTTGGAGAGGATGTATTTCAAGATCAGCTATCTTCCTACTGCATGCACCATAATTAGCTTTTAATTCTGTTGATGACACAATGAATGTAGTTCCATGATGTAACTGGTGGGGCATATGAAGATGTTTCTCACTGTTCAATGTGTTTCCATTACTGATCTCTTCCAACCAGGAGCCTGCAGTCTCTGGTATCGTGACTCTGGTATCCTGGTTGATAGCAAACATTGCTTTCCTGAGGCAGGATTTATTCTCTTCTGTAGCAGCTTTGCTAAGAAGGTAGGAAGTAAGTTATGGTTTAACATGTATCTGATCAACACAAGCTTGAATGAATTGAAATTGGCACCTCAGAAGGGCCAACTTCTGTAGCTAGTTGAAAATAATACTCTGTGGTGTGAGTAAGGATTTCCCCAACTTAATAAGTTAACTCTATTTCTAGCTTCAGTTCTGGGTGAAGTTCTCTTTCTATTAAAGATTTAGTTTGGAAATGTCCAGAGCAGCCATGATAGTTTTCTTTGAGTCATTTGGTTAGGTTATCTGTATTTTTAAAAACACTACTTTTTACTACTGTACTTGACTTGCACAAAAGCTTCACCTTAAATTTTTCTAGTTCCTCAAATGAGCAGGTGGAAGTGGTATGGTTTGTCAGAGGGAAACTGCATTCATTCTGCTATAACCCTCCTCAGACTGTAACTTACTTGCTACCAGAGAGATATTCAGAAGATTCAGTACATATTTGTTTGCAGAAATGTCTGAAACAACCCAAATCCTGATTCTTAGTTGTCAGGGTGTTTTTCTTAATATTCATTGTCAACATCTCCTGATGTAAAGTTTGCGGTCCTCAGCAGCCCAGAGCTTCATTCAATCTTATCTATCACATCCTAGATAAACACTGTGATATGTACACTATTATATCTATGTTATGTGGTCATTTTAGGCTGTTAAAAAACTTTTCCTGACTGTAGACTGAAGATTATGTTCAGGTTTTGAAGTAGAAGCGCTTTTCTGGGAAGTCACAGAACAGTGGTTACAGGATCTGGTATCTCTGAACTCTCTGTACTAGATCCATGCATGATATTCAAATGGAATGGGTAGGACTGTAAATAACCAAGGAGAGATGGAAAATTTCACAACTGCTTCTAGAGTTAGTGATTAATTCAGTGTTTGTTTCATAGTTAGGACACTGTTCTTGAAAGCAATATTTAAAACGGAGTTCCAGAAATCTAACAGTATAGTATGTCATCAGGTACTCCAGGAAGTAGGGCCAGAATTTATTGCTGGCTCAAATCATTACTGCTGTATGATTGTGAACCTTCAAATTTTACGTAGCTAAGGCAAAAGGGTGAAGGTTTGTGATGGAAGTTAGAGGCTGTTTTTAGAGGTATCAATTTGTTATGCTTCTCAGGTATTTATTAAAAAAAAAATGTAGCAGAGGAAGACTTGAGAATAGAAGGAATGTAAAAATTTATTTTGGTACATAGCTCTTCTTCCTTATGTATGAAAAACTTTCGTGCATTTAGTGTTATTTTATATTTGGCGTTTCAGATAAATTACCTTTATTACAGCCTGCTCTCCTGAAATGTAAAGCACCAGTTTGCTTTTTTTTTTTTTTTTAATGAATGTGTTCCATGTCAAAACCTTGAATTCAAATTCTTTTTTTTTAATAAGGCATATCAGCTGTGTTTTGTTTTTTCCTCTATAGGCATAGAAAAATTAAACCAGCAGCTATCTCCACAGAGGTAAGTAGAAAGGGAAATGATTTAGAAAATTACTAAGAACCATAATTTGGCTGCAGACATAATCTTTGAGAATAAAGTAGGCTTTTCCAGTTTTATTTTTTTCATGTTTTACAACTGTCACTTCAGAATTATTCCTAGAACAGTGAGAATTCATTCTGCTCTGAGACCAGAAATGTAAAGGTGTAAATGTAGAGGTGGACCTTAATTCCCTCAAGACTGCCTGGGAATTTCTAGAACTCAAGAGATACAAATATATTTTCCATGCAAAACCTCTCCAACTATGTAGGCTTGCTCGTAAGATTGCACTGAGTGGGGACTGCCACCCAGAAAAGAGGCAGCAGTGGCAGCTGGGCCCTTGGCAGAAGAAATTGGCATCGATTATTTGAATATAGGTACTTATGTTGACTTGGGTTTATACCTCTGGGTGGAGCACATCCACACGTCCTTGTGCGATGGAGAACTAGGAACAAAGCAGCACTACGTGAGCTGTGCTGAGAAGGAGAGGGTGACAATATTTTTTCTGGTAACCAGCAGGACAGGCAAAAGTTGACTTTTGCATTGGATGTGGAGTGGGATACAGGGAGAGGGGGGCAAATCTGGGACTGGGAGGAATTTAAGGGCTGCAGGACTGCTTTTTCTTTTCACCTGCTGCCTTCACCATTCCTGCCTCCAGGCCTGGCCCTCCCCCTGCCCGAAGCAGGCTGCAGCTGCTGAGCGGGGCAGACAGCTGGGCTCCTGACACAGCGCCAGGACCCTCCGCTCCGCTTTGGGCGCTGAGGTTTTTGCAAGGTGGAGGCCAGGCCCCTTGCAGCTGCTGGAACAGGCAGCATAATGAAGATGAAGTAGTCAGCTTCCTTCTTGCTCCTCTCTTGTGCTGTTGAAACAGTTACCAGTCAGCCTTCAGATATAGTTGAGTTTGTCATGTTAGCATCCTTGACTCGGGAGCTTTGTGGCTGTGTGGGGTTTTGTCTTCTCATGTTTCACGTTCACCTTCTCTCTGTACTGTTCCTCCCTTTGCACTGTGATGGGAAGTGGCTTGAGCTGTTTGCATAGGTTGAAATGGTGCTTTGAATCCACCAAAGAGGGTCTATCTTTCATTTAAGAAGATGGAAATTCATCATTTATGTAGAAAATCTCATTGTTCCTCCTATCCTCAAAACTGCAGGTGGTACTATCAAACATGGGGAGCATGAGCATCCTTCTAAACATCTTAAAATCCATTCAGGAAGGTATTTTGAAGACTGAAGTTTGGGCTACATCCAGCAAGGGGAAAGAGCTGTCACTCAGCTCAGATTGGTTTATAAATTCTGCTCTCCAGAAAACAACTGCGGATTTAAATAGGGCTACTTCTTCTAGCAGCATTGGCAATACTATCAGGGCTGTCTGGCACTGCACAGGATATTTCTTCCACGGAAGAAAACTAATCCTAAGCAAGATGTTTTCAGTGTGAGTTATGTTCCTTAAAGTGCTACTACAGCAACTCAAACAAGTGGCATCATTTCTCAGTGTTTTCAAATAAGCTAGCCTGAAATCAATATGGATTTATTCCTTGTCTCTTCCTACGGTATCCAGAGGGATGCTTCCATTCCTCTTTCAGACACAAATGTCTTGATTTAATGCATTTTATGTATTGTACCTGCTTGTAAAACAGAACATGCATTTGATTGACTGTCTTGAACAGTTAAATCCTTACTCCTTGCTGACTCAGTGGTGACGGATAATTGCCCCTTATGGATCTAGGTGTCTACTTGTGATGATACTTATTTAAAGTCTTATTTAGTTGTATAAGATTTCCAAAGGCTGCATTTAGTGGCTTAGATTTTAAGGACTTCTTGAATTTGTAGTTTAATAATCAGAAGTCAAATTTGGTTGTAGTAAGAGTTAATTTTGCTGGAGTATATGACAAGGTGACTTTAACTATGTTTCCATACCAGAAACAGATACTTTCCAAAGCACTTCAGTTATGGCTGGAATATAAGTTCTGCTTTTCAGTGGCATTGCTGTGTTTTTTGAACCTTTTATCCAGATTCTTCACGGGCAGTAACTGGTTAATTAAAAACTAGCATTTAGGTGAGCTACTTCTGTTTTCAGTGTGGGATAGATCTATGTTTTGGAGCAACTTGAGGAGGTATGGCCTTTAGCACAGCAGTTTCTGTGAGCAGGGACTCTGGGGCAACTTTGGTCCAGAAATGAAAGTTTCACCAAGAAATGGCTCTTGAGCAGAATAAAATGCTTTGAGAATGATCAGCAGATTCTTGGTTCTCCTGACAGATACAGCTACTATGTCAAAGAGCCTTATTCCCAAGAAACAGCCCAGCCAGCAACAGCAAGCACTGCATTTAGCCTTGTTAGAGGACACTTACTGACCGAACAGCAGGTACTCAGCTGGCTTGCTTAAGTATAACAAAGCAGGGGTCCTGTCTTACTTATTAATACTATTGCAATAATCTGATATGCAGCTACTTGCTAAAACAAATGTTAAAACTATTTCTGATTATCTGACACTCACTTTTGCACTACTCACTGTGGTACTGTACCAAATAATTGCCCGCTAGCCAAAAGCAGAGTATGTATCAGAAGTGAGTCTGGACTCACTCAAGGTGGTTATCAGCCAAATCTCCGGCTTGTGTGAGAGTTCCTGCCTGCAGCAAGACATGCAGATTCTATTATTAGCCCACAAACACTTTGTTAGCATTAAACTTTGCACTACAAGCAGTGGGTTTGGCTGCTTTTTGCTAAAAACAGGTGATTACTTTGAGGAAAAAGGGGAGGGGAGTTGATGGCAGGATTTATGACTGGCACATAGCTGAATTTTGCACTCCTGCAGGTTGTTGTAGGATTTTACTGTGTCTATATCTAAGTGTAGATAGTTGGAGACAAACACTAGCTGCTGATAGCTGTTGGATTAAGTTTTGAGAATTGTGACACCAGAATTTGAAAAATCTTCACTATATAACAGGTGTTTACCATTTTTAAGCTTCTAAAGTCTACACCTTTCTTTTCTTTCGGACAATATCTAATCAAACCCATTTTCATGCTGGAATTAATTTATCTGTGACTATTTTATATATGAAATAAAGCTGTCAGTATGGACCACTTCTTTGCAGTAGGCTGAAATGCATTCTACCTAGTGCACAGAGTGGGGCAAGGATGTGCTTACTGACGCTTACTGTCCGTGTTCATTATCATTGTCTCAAATGGCAAAGCACTGGGAGATGTATTTAAAAATAAAGGTCTGGTGGTGGCTGGCTTTTTTTTTTTTTTGTCAAGCTCCCACTTGTGACTGAGCCTAGATGGGCTGCTGTAACATAAGATTGCTAAATAGACCCCTGCTGTGCTTCCTTTCACTGAGGCTGGGCCCTTTCAAGGAGATCTGCTCCAGAAGGGAGACAAAATTCTACTTGCATCTGAAAATGGGTTTGGCAGGCATCATATAGCAAACTTGCTCCCCACTTACTTTAACTGCACTGTGACTGAACAGTCCCTAGGGAAGTATTCAGTTATAGCAGTATATGGCAGTGCTCCCTGGCACCACAGCAGATGTCTGCATGTGTGTTAAAGATGAGAGGGGATGATCTCCAGCTCTGAAATATAAGACCACACAGGAGACAGAAGTAAGACAAAAACAAATGGCCAGAGATCAAGGACTAGTGCAAGAGGGAGCACAGTGGTGCCTGCAAGCAGCTGTTGCTGTCAGAGGTAAGCAGATTCCTCCTGGAAAAGCAATGTGAGTCACCCGTGTGCCCTGGCTACCAAGAGGGCCAACCATATTCTGGGCTGCACCAAGCACAGCATTGCCAGCTGGGTCAGGGGTGCAATTGTCCTGCTCACCTCAAGTCCTGTGTGCAGTTTTGGATGCCACAGTACAAGAAGGACATAAAACTACTAGCAGGCATGCAACGGACGGCTAAGAAAATGGTGAACAGTCTAGAGGGCAAGATGTGTAAGGAGCAGCTGATGTCACTTGAATTGTTCAGGCCAGACAAGAGGAGATTGAGGGGAGACCTTGTTGTGGCCTACAGCTTCTTCACGAGGGGGAGTGGAGGGGCAGACGCTGGTCTTGTTTGTCTGGTGACAAGTGATATGACCTGAGGGAAAGGCACGAAGCTGTGACAGAGGCGGTTCAGGCTGGACGTTGGGAAAAGGTTCTTCACTGAGGAATGGTTGTCAGGCACTGGAACAGGCTCCCAAGCGAAGTGGCCATAGCCCCAGGCCTGCTGGAGTTCAAGAAGTGTTTAGACAACACGTTCTCAGACATGATTTGATTTTTGTGTGGTCCTTTGTGAAGCCAGGAGCGTGATGTGATGATCCCTGAGGGTCCCTTCCAGCTCAGGACATTCTACAATAACATTGAACCTTCTAACCTTTTCTTTCTGAGAAAAGCCTATTTTAGATCAAGTGAATGACTATTTACTGCCTATCTATTCAGAACTGACCAGCCTAAACCAAAAATATTTTGTAAACACAGACATAAATATTGACTAATTAAAGCTGTTACAGGTGAATATAGAATATGTGCTCAGTACTAATCTGGAAGCAGTCAGCTGTACTAAAGAACTCAAATACAGTTGAAGGGTCCATGTCAGCACTGCAGTCAAATCTTGCAGGGAAAGCTGAGAGCTACTGGGCTTTCCTCTGCTAGCACCCAGGTGCAAAAACACCAGGCCAGAGTGAAGGTAGTGAGAGCTCTCATCTCTGCTCAGAAAAATGGCTGAAATTGGTCCACCAGCAGTCTGCCCTAATGATGTTCTGTCACGGCTTATAGGTGGTTTTGAGCAGTAAAATTCAGATGTGCCCAGCAGCAGTGTTGATTTGCCTTCTGCAGACAAACTGTGGGAAGGAGCAGTAACTGCTACTTAACAGCTCCCATTCCACTTCATATTTTAAACTAACACTAATCTATGCAAGTGTTATTAATGGATTATATTTCCCTATGCTTGCAAGGTAGGGAAGTGTATCAGAAGTGATTGGAGAACAAATCCATACTGAAATCAGTCATCTGGTTACAGTTTTAAAGTGTCTGAAGCTCAGCTGCACGTACTAGGTACTGCTGTAGGCAAAAATACACTGCCTTTCAGGTTTCTTTGAGCAGTTTACCTTTCACCTGACCTCTGTAACAAATCCAACATAGAAACAAAATCACACCTAGTCAAAAGTTTAAAGCATACGTATGTGCAACTGTTATTCAAAGTTTTAATGCAAATTTCCTTTAATTTTATCTTTCTTTTTTTTTAAATTTTATTTTAAGAGGTGTTTACAGTAGTACCCCATAGACGCAGTGCAAAGCCATGGTGTCTCGAGCCTGTCCAGGGCTAGGATTTTAGTTAAGAGCACAAATTCCGTGCAGAGGCTACTTGGGCTGTAATTACGCCTACCCCCAACCCCTCCTTCTGGTCCAAGCTACAAAAGCCTGTGTGTTTCAGCTACTCAGCTAACGCTCCAGCTGCTCCTCACACATTGTTTTCCTAGGAGCCTGGTGCAGGAGAGCTGAGCTTCCTCCCAGCCAGGAAGCTGCTTAACAGCACAGGCTGGAAGAGAAAGGCAGCCAGCAGCAGCCAGCTGGTTGGTTTAATGAGCACGGTAGATCAGTGCTGATTAATTGATACAGTCATTCAAGTCAGGTCTTGCTTGACTGTTCCCCATTGTATATGTGGGGAATCTCACACATACATCAACTCAACTTTTACTGCTGTTGAGAAGAAAAGCTGTTGGTAATAATTAAACTGAGTATTAGTAGTGGTAAGGTCTATTTCTCAATTTCAAAATAAGAGTAAATGGTATCAGAGAACAGGCTTTAGAAGCTTCTGCCTGGGGGAGAAAATAACCAAGCAACCTTCATGCTACATTCTTAGCATAGCTGTGCTAAAAAAGAAAAATCCTTGGGTTTCCAAGATTGTATCCTCTCTCAGCTATTCTACAGTTTTCTTGCTGTCCTCTCATATCTGGTCAAGAATAAGATCTGATTACAGTAGACTTAGTAAGCAATGAGCAATTACCCTGCTTTTCCTAACGGGAATTATTCTCCTTTCTTTCTCCAAAGTTGCTCTTTCTCTACTTTCCCGACAAATTGCAGAATATCTTCAGCAAGAAGTTCAGGTTCCTCTAAAGCTGCGAAGTGGCCACCTTTAGGCATCAAATGGAAAGACACTATGTTGGTGTATTTCTTCTGGGCCCAAGCCTGGGGTGTGTGCATGACTTCATTAGGGAAGGAAGCGATGCCAGTAGGTACTTGTACTGGGAGCCTGAGAGAAAAGTGAGAACAACAATTTTATCTTTGAGACACGTAATTCAGCAAGACACGGAAAGTCCCATGAAAATGTTCCTCAACAGATAGGCACATGTGTTAGGCAATTAAAAACTGACTTTCAAATCTTAAATTTGAGCACTAGACAATGCTTCAGTCCCTGGAAAAAAGAAAAAAAGGAAGATGGCTATAAGTTTTTGCATACACTGATATATAAGGCAGTGTTGCTAGGTATCCAGGGCATAAGAGCTAGAAGAATGGAAACTAAGAAGACAGCCCTAGGAGGCAAGTTTCCTCAAGCTACATTCAGGGCTCAAGAGTCATGTATTGAGGGGAAAGCAAACAATTTGACAAGGGCTGAAGAGAGATTTACAGTGAATATTACAACTAGAACATGTTGAGCCTGTCAGGACAACTGGAGGGTAAGCAGGGGAAGAATTTATCTTGAACCACTCGCTCTAAGGCAGGGATGGGGAAAAAGAGAGCAATAATAGTAAATATATGCTAGCTCAAAGGAAACATTTCTTAACATGAGTATTTGTCCTCTAAAGTGTCTTCCCATAGAAGAAGGCTCTTACGTTTAAGTGGCATGAATGTACTCTACAGAACATTTTCTATAGGAACAAGTAGAGAGAAGCAACTGGATTTGAAGGGAAAAGTATCTTAAAGTGGAACTAGCCATGCCTGTTATAAACAGCAGTATTTCCTAGGTTAAAATATCCCATACACAAAAGCTGCATTATCAGAAGTGACAGGTTTTAAAACTTAGACAGAACAGGGTGCTTACTCTTATGTATGTTTTTGAGACTCTTTCCTCTAGGCACGTAGAAGCTTGTTTAGCTCATCTCATGTAGGCAGAACTGGAGCAGAATACTGCCCACAGTGTAGCCACAACAGCTTCAAAAACGGAGTCAGCTTCCTGGGAGCATCATTTCACAGCTAAATAAATGCCATAGCAGTGAACTGGGGATGTGAATGCCTCTGGGCAGGTTTAAACCTTCCCCAGTACTCAACCTGACAGAGGTATATGCAACCAAGCTGTTGTCGCAAGTGCCTGCACATAGGAACATCATCAGTCTTACCGACTTTCAAATTATGCAGCATTTATCATTATACTGAAGTTACTTCCAAAGGTAGAACTTTTTTTTTTTCTCCAGAAATAAGCAAACCGTGTCCAGAAAAGTACCAGAACTTCATAAACAAAACTGACTAGTTGACTCAGTATCCAGGTATCTAATTTAATAACTAAATTTAATTTAATAACTGAAATCAAATCTGGAAGTAAGCATATACGCTTTTCCCTAGCTAGATACACCATGAAGGGGAGGTCCTCAAGCAGTGTTGTTCCAGTCAGCTGTCCTTGCTGGTGGTTTGGGATTCAAACCAAGTTATTGTGTTTTCTGAGCACAGTACATCAACTGACCTGTCCTGCAGAGAAATGCTGTGACACAGCATTCCTTTTCTTCAGCATTCATAAACTTGGCAACAACCATAAGGCATAAGCAACCTATCTGCAATCATAAAATTAAGTTCAAGGCAAAAACATTTAAAGGAAAGAACACTTACTTCTCATGTTTCTGTGTGCCTATTCCCTTCTGCAGATTTTCTTTGTAGAAACGCATTGAGGAGACTATGCAGCCTGACACCCAGTAGATCATGATATTGGTAAGAAGATCATCCAGGTTAAACTTCCTGAATAAGTGAGCCCAGAGATTGCTTAGTTAGAACTAAATACCATTTTGCATTACTTTAAGAGGGACTTGACTTTGGTTTTGTTGTAAGGGAAAAAAAAAACAAGGTAGGAAAAACAAAGATTTTCACTAAGCCAGTTCTTAATCCACAAAAAATGCAGGGTCTATCTCTTTTAGGGAGATATAAAGGGGAAGGGAGCATATTAGTCTTCATGGCCTATTTGCTTATTTGCATGCTGTAGTACTGCACTGCTTGTGGTCACTACAGACTCCTTATAAGATGTGAGGCCATCTGTGCAGATAGAATCTTATTTAGCTATGACTTGTGGCATAATCACCTAATCCAAAATAGCATTAAAGGAAACGCTTACCTCTCTAGTCCTCCATCTTCTAAATTACGGAATTCCAGATCAGTCCATGTAGAAAATTTCTCCAAGATGTATGCAGCCAGTCCTACAGGAGAGTCATTCAAGCCACAACCTGAAAAGGAGGAGGAAAAATTAACTAAAATTGGGATATTCTACTGCTGACCTCAGATTGCTTTAGAAGCTGCCCACAATAATACAGGGTAAGTAACTTTACAAAGCAGTTCCAGCAAACTGTGTTTTTAAGTAAAGGAAATTAGTAGAACAAGTCAGAGCCATTTATTGTTGGATCATAAACATAGTATCTGTACATCAACAAGCTCCACCTTAGCTCACATTGTGTGTTTTCAAACTGATGTAGCAATATCGCATTTCTGCTGGCTTGTGTGTGATTAAGGTCTATGTGCCAAGTAGGGTTTGCCTCTATTAATCTGGAAGTTGTCATGTATTAAATAGCATTACAGGGCCAAACCCTACATGCCCAGGTGAATTTACACCATTAACTAACAGCAAAAACTTTTTAAGGATTATTAGAAAGTCATTAAAGAAGGGCAAGGCTTTATAAAAAGGTCCATCTTCCATATTAGCAATAGCTAACTGCCTTAATGTAGGACAAGCCTTAACATACTTTTTATAGTTGTTTTACTTGGATAGAAAAAAAAACAAAACACACCTGTGCTTGGAAATTTGCTAATGTATCCTAGTGCTGTGAAATACAGGGACCATGAACTGTCCCAGCTGCTCAGAAAAATCTTAGAAAAAGCTTTTCCTGCGGAACAGCAATATATTTGAAGTTCCACCCCTGCATCCCAACTGTCCCATAAGATGCCTGACACTACAGCTAGCAAAACTTTATCACTAATTGCTATTTAAATGTAGTTGAGTTTTAGTTATTAAACAAGTAACAGACGTATCAGATGCCAAGTGTTCCAAAAGTTACAGCTAGTATGCTTTCTAGATGTGCAGAATTAGACAAGCAATAGCCTGTTCTCACGTACTTCACTTAGATGGGAACAAAGAAGAGTACATCAGTTTACGTGTAGGAAAAACTTCTATCAACCCTAACAGTACAGAATACAGGCAATGCCAAGCCTCTTCAATCAACTGAAAATGAACCCAAGTTCCATGCAAATATCCTCATAAGTATAAAATCAGATCCATGTAAACCGGTTCGATCAAAAGCCAGTTCTGAAACAATCAAGAGATTAGGATCAACCAAAAGTCAGAAATGACTTCATTGCTGAGGATAGCTCCTGTGTTGAATCCTGTTCTTGCAAGGTAGAACTGTGCCACCAGAAGGCTCAGGAAGACCTTGGCAGCCTCCCAGCTACCGGCTTTCCAATCTTTTCTTAAAGCAAAAAAAAAAAGGAATTGGAGACTAGCAATTTTTAGAAATCACAACTGAAAGCAAGCCAAATTATTTTAAATCCATAACACTATCATTTTGCCTACATCCTTTAAGAATGTGCCTGCTTCTGTAGCTAAGTGTATGCAAAGACATGAAGAAATAGTTTCTATAGCTGTTTTTAATAAAATCTACAATGAGTGAATTGCTGCTGCACTAAAATAAAAATACATTCAGTATTCTTGACTCAGATTTCCAATTCAGTAGCAAAAATATTTTTAAAACAGAAATGTTTAATACTTAGATACTTAAAGTGATTAACCAATATGAGTGATTAGCTCATCTAGAAAGAAAACTTATAGGAACACGCATTTTATTTTCTTGAAAGTCTGCAAGTGATTCATAACAGTGAGTAAGAACTAAATTTGACTTTTTCAGGTATTACTTCTGCCTATTAATAAATTAGCTTGTGTGCTAAAACAGCTAAAAGCTTCTTAGTTTACATCATTTTGATCGTGATCCATTCTCAATGGAGAAACTATCTTTTGTTGTCCGCACAGCTACATTTGCAATAGAATTACAGTCCCCAGTGATAGTCGAAATGGAAAAGTATTAAACTATTTATGAAAATTAAGAATGTGGTCAGTGATACTTAGAGAATGCTCAGTTCTCATAATTCACCCCTTTTGCATGCAAAAGTGAGCTTAATATTATACACCCATCTATTGCCTTTTACAACTTCATACAGAAAAAGAGACTCTTTTAAAAACCTCTGACCTTCCTACTTCAATTTCCTCTAGCCTTTTTACTTCCATTTCCCCGAAAAAAACTCATTTTCTGCCTATTTTAAGCAGCATATTTTGTTTCTGTGACATTATAGCTAAAAATTAAGTATTCTGAGCTCTAAAAGCATTTTTTTTATTGTTATTTGCTTTGTTTGTTTTCTATACCAACGCTATCAGGCTTTGTAGCCTGTATGTGAGCGTAGCCAGATTCCGACAAGATCCTGTAGAGCCCCTTTTTCAAGAAGGGAAACATCCGCCTAACGTCTTCTTCCTGGAAACCGAAGAGCCCTGGAAGATAGCGGCCCAGCAGAATGGAGAGCAGGTGGGTGAATCCCATGTTCGTAACAGAGGCTAGATTTAAATGAAGACCTTTCAGATGGCTGAAAATAAAGACAGAAAAAGGCCCCACAAATTACCAAAATAAAATGTGATTCAAAGTTGTTACGTTTAGAATGTATCAAAATGTTATAAAATGTTCACTTTAAATATTAAATGCTGTATTACATATATTATTATTGTAACAAATGTAATATTATATTTACAATGTACAACAATAGACATACTCAAATTCCAATCCACTAATTACATTATTGTTCATGACCTTAATTGTGCTTCATAGCGTGGCTTTTCACAAAAAAACAAGTCAAAGTGGCAACCACCAGGAGTCAGAGCACACACACACTCTCTTTTTTTTTTTAAATAAATACTTATCCCATTCCAGAATCCCCTGGGGCCATCACAAAACACACAACTGTTCAGCTTTTCAGAAGAAACCAAGGCATACAGTTCTGGATCACTGCTTAACATAGAGCACTGATGACAAAAACTACACAGTGCTTGTTTTTAGGATTTGCTTAGAAACAATCACGTACATAAGCAATGACTATTTAAAGAATAAAACAGCTTTACATGCCGATCATGCAGCACTGTACCAAAGGGATACTCACTTGGGAGCTATCTGGGCCAGATTGGTGCAGATGAGCCAGCCCCAGTCACCACCTTGTGCGTAGAACTCGCTGAATCCCAGTCTGAGCATCAATTCATAAAATACCGAGGCAGCACTTACAGAATTAAAGCCTGCATTAAAAAAATAAAGTAATTAAAAAAAAAAAAAACACTATTGCGTTAATTCCAGCTGTTCTTCTTCTCCCTGGCATAAAACAATTCCTAAAAAAAAACAAGTCCATTTTGCCTTGCCTGTCTGACAGTCTACATAGAAGCCCTTGTCACACTGTCCAGGTAAGGCTTAGAGAACAGGCAGAAACCAGGAGAAGAAAGTCCAGCTTTCATTACAGCCTGATGTTCTCCTAACCCTACTATTTTTCCATGTATTTAGCCTGCTAAGGGGTTGCTGGACTCCTCCTAAACCAGTCATACTCCAGCTGAGCCCTGTCTGAGGCACTAAGGGCCCAGGGAATGGGCTTCCATTTTGCCTCTGTGCCTACAGAACCTTATCTTAATGATAACTAGAAACTTTTTAATTCATGGAGTTGTAACTTCATAAATTTTTATAGTCCTTTATAAATTATCTAGCCATTGCTCCTGAAACTAATGTCATTTGCAGTCATATCCACCTCGCTCTTTCCACGTGACACACAGGGTCTTTGTTTCTACACTGGCAAAACAAGAGACAGAAGTTACAGAAGTAGGGGTTGCCTCATTGTAAGACTAGGCTTGTGTTAGCTCAGTTTCTTCTCATATCATCGTACCTTTTTTGTGGGGAGCTTCTGAGAAACCATAGCCAGGGATAGAGGGGCAAATGACTTCAAAAATGTGTTCATCGCTGAGGCCATGGCTGGCAGGGTCAGTCAGGAGAGGAATAATTTTGTAAAACTCATAAAATGAACCGGGCCAACCATGAACCATTAATAATGGCTTTGCAGACTGGCCTTCAGGCAAACAAGGAGGCTTTACATGAACAAAGTGGATATCAATGCCTGTAAAAAATAAAACAAGTAATTAACATGCTCAAACTTACCATGACACTGAAACTAATCACAGAACAGATTCTGAATAAATCTTTTAACATCTTCTTTGTTTTGTTTTGTTTTGGCGAGCATGCAAGCACCCTGCATTTCTTTGGATCCATTTATCCAGGAACCTTAAAGTACTTTATAATGGGCAATTAAGCATCACAGCACCTAAATGAGGTCGGCATATTTCTGTTTTAAAATAAATTGGCAAATTAAGACATAGAAGTGAAGCAATCTTCAAACAGTAACACTGTGACTCACACAGCTGAAAGGCAGAAGAGACAATTACATCATTTAGACCAAGTACCCTTATAATTGTACTGAAATATCCCTAAATGGCACCACCTAGGTTTCGGCCAGCCACAGATTTTTCTTCCTGAAAGGCATACAATTGCAACTTTAAGGCATCAAGAAACAGAGATGCCCCCCATCATAAGCAGCAGCAGTTTATTTGGGGGCATTAATCAATTTTCCTGTTTCACTCATGCCCGACTTCCCATTTGAACATATCTGGCTTCTGTTTCCAGCCACTGATCCTAATGTTACAGCAAAAGGAATTTTAAAAGCCATTAGCAAGTGTTGTCTGTCTGTGGAGACCTGTAAACTAGTCACACATATTAACTTTTGACAAACTAATCATGCTGAATCAAGGATTTGAGAAATACATTGCTAAAGGAGAGCTGAAGAATTCAATTTTGTGATTCTTTTCTACCTTTTTCCAAATCTTTCAGTATAATTTTTGATAAATTAAAACAGAAAAAATGTTCTTATACCAGTCTCATCGTTGGTAGGTAGAAAGGTAAAAATTGCAGTCCTGTTTCCTTTGTGATCCTTACAATATATTAGCAAGAGTACAATGTTGTACTAGGAGCTCCAGGTTAACCACTTTTCCTCAAACCTGTTCAGGGCTTTGCTTTCCAGGAAATGATATTTTGCTCTTAGTGGGGCCTGAATGTCCCATTTCTTGATGAATTTAAACACATTTTACTTGCATCAACTCCACCTCATCAGCAATCCCAGCCTCTCTCAATGACTGAGATTTCCTCATCCTTTACAATTCTGTGGATTTCTGCATTCTCTTAAAAAACCTCCCAGCCATGACAGAAGCTAAGAATCTGATATTCCACATGCTCGAGCTTGTCTTTTCATGGCCCATCTCCGTAACCATTCTTAATGTTCAAGTCTCTCTTCCTGTATCCAAACACACTGCATTGTTGTTGACTTATTTTACCTTTCTTGTCTCAGACAGTACTCTGATGACCTGGCAGCACATCAACCCTAAGGGAAAGGCATTTTACCTTCTATGAGGGCTTGAAATGGTGCAGCAGAGCACACTGGCCCTCCCAGTCAGGGATAACCTGAGCAGCCAGCCACCCAGCTGATGAGAGCTGCCAGGCTGACAGCATCACCATGACAGCAGCAGCTGGGGAACTACATGGATCAAGAGGAGGCATCTGTGGGTATTTTCGTGCGACTGCATGCAAGGCAGGGAACATGTCTACATCTCAAGATGCAGATCTGTTTCCGAATGCCTGTGCTTGGCTCCTGTTAACACCAACTGACAACCCATCCACGCACAAGGGAATTATATCTGTCATTCCTTGTCCTAAAGGCTTCAGTTACAATGAGGCAGCTTCTCACCACTGCTGCAGCAGTAGCAAGGATCCATGTCATGCCAGCTAGGGAGGAAAGGCCCATGCAACATGACCAAGAGCATTCTTATGGCTGCGATGCCTTGTAGACAAGATTATGTATTGCTGTTTATTTTTAAGAGAAAAAAGCCACGCACCTTGAATCTTAGTTTTGAATTGTGGGTACTTATTGAGAATTTCAACTTGTTTCTTCCAGTTGAATTGGTTTTTCCAATAGGAGACAACTTTCCTGAGATACACTGAGTTTGTTCCATAATGGAAGCAACTGTCCTCCAGTGGCTCAGTGAATCGAGCCTTGTCCAGCCTCCTATACAGGTCCTGTAGGGAAAAGGAAAAAAGGAAGAGACATTACAAGCACTGCATCTGCTATCTTACGCCCAAGTGAAACGAGCAATAGTGAAAATAATATCTCCAATGATACCTGTGCCATTTGCTGATGCTCCATCAGCTGTTTCAGCTCTTGTTCTCCCCCAGATGCCCTCCCTTCCTCTTCCACTTACAGATGTTCTTAATATTTCCACTGCCTTTGTTTAGCAGCACTGGCTAACCCATTTGCCAGGCTGATAACCACAGAGGACAGCACCCAAAACACAACAGGGAGCTGTGGAGAAGTTTGCTTATGGTACTCACCTCCACAGAACATTGTTATTTATTTTTTTTCTTTCTCTTTTTTTTTTTTTTCTCCCCACCAGCTGATTACCAAAAGGGCCAAAGTGACTTCACAATTTAAGTCTTGTTGCCTTTCTGTGGTATGTTGCTCCCAGGGCTACCTTTAAGCCCAGCCTCATGATCAATGCATGGATCTGGCTGAGACCTTTTACTCTTCTTCCCAAACCAAGGTGCTGGACGTCCACACCAGGAAACACTGAGGGATTTCGCAGGGCCACAAAGTTGGTGAAACAACTGGAGCAAAAGTTTCCAAATCTAGACTAACTTTTCAAGTGACCCTGCTACTGTGCTTCATGGTCATGGGGAATGCTGACAATACTATAAATTCAGTCCAAAATCACTCAGCAGGGAAGAAGAGCCAAAAGCCCCTTCTTATTAGAAACAGAACCACAGAATAGTTGAGGGTGAAAGACAGGTCTGCAAATCCAGCCCTGCTCAAACCTCTAAGAGGTTTAAACTTGAACAGCATTTTCTAGTACAGTGATGATAAGGACAACTCTCACTTGCTAAGATGAGTTAGTTGTATACACTGCCTCATGCCTCACACTGAACAGGTAGTCTCAATCTAGACAAGAAACATCTTGTCTATACGTAGACAAGAATGTAAGCTAGCTTTTATTTTGGTCATTTAACATGTACAGAAAGCATGGATTTTTAAATGAAGCTTAACACATCTATACATACATGTTTTTTCCATGTTCAACATCTTTTCAGAATGTTTTTGCAATTATGTCCTATCACTGCTTAAACTCCCTAGTTTACTTAAGAATTTATTTAGAAAAAAGGTTTATTATGTATGTTGGATTATGTACTAATAACTGTCATAATACAGGATTGTGTTTCACAAAATCCATAGAAGTTACATAGCTTTGTGTCTGCAGTATGAGAGAAAAACATATTGGAGATCAATGTCCACCAATATTACTAAGGAGAACAAATGAAGTCCTAAAAATTCCAGAGCTGAGAAAATAGAAATCCATTACAAACAGATAATATGAGCAGTCCCATAATTACTTCTAAACAAGTAAATTTTATTTGGCCATTTCTTACTCCGCTTTTCCCAGTACAGAGATTTGCTTACACTCAGATCTTTTTCTGTAGTTTCCACCTTAAATGGCCAAATAGTTGCATCTTCTTCAGTGTCAGGCTTTTGGCCTCTGCCCCACCATCCCTCCTTAAAGGATAACGTCTCTTCTTTCTTCCTGGAACGTAAGAAGTAGAAGATGACAGTCCCCAGAATCAGGAGTATCTCAAGCAGCATAATGCCTGTAAGAGAAGAACAAAACTCTGGTGAGACCAGTCAGATTGTTCAGAGACACGTAATGTACTTCATAAAGACTACAGAGGTTTACTTGCTTTTTATGATAGGATTTGATCTACATGTTTACATGATGTTCTGTCAGTCTCAGGATATTAACACTTAACAGGATATTAACACAGTTGATTGCTGCTAAATGTCAAAAATAAAAGGGGTAACTGTGGACATAATTCAAGTTAAAGCTTTCTCTCCCTCTGAAGGTCTAGATTTCCCACAAATTCCAAAACAGAGCATCTCTTCAGTAAGGCTTACATATATTCTGTTACAGATTTGGAGGATGAAAATCAAGATGTGTATACAAAATAAGTAGTGAGGAACATGAGAACAACCATCTTGCATCTCCCAGTTAGCCGGAGAGGGGGGGAATATTTGCATAAATCTTGAACAGCAGAGCAACAGACAGAAAGCCCTTCCCTTTCTTTCTCCCTCTGAACTTTTATGAAAAGAAAATAAAAGACCACATGCATGCTTTCCAGGCTCTAAAACATCCCTCCCCAAGCAATGAAGTTCTCTCTGCTCAAGAGAATGAGTAACGTTTTCAATACCTTTTCACACATTTAAGTATGAAAAATGTATGGAAAGGGGGTTGGGAAACAGTGATGTCACCTTTTTAAGGCATAACTTTAATGAATGCCATGTTTCAAACACTCACACACTGAGAAAATGATAAAACATTAAGTACTTAAAAACTTCTGTACAGCAAGCATTGTTTGTGTTACTGAACAGCCTACATTCTCTCCAAAGCTGGGAGGTTTTGTTGGTTTTGCTGCTGCAGAGTAATTTGATGCTCTGAAATTATTCAGAGTCAACACGTTGTCCAAAAAAGCAGCTCCTTTATTGACCCAGTGTGCAATAAGCCAACTCGCACACACTCAGGAGAGATGCTGCTTTTATTCAGGCCTGGGTGCTCAGTGGATTTTCCGCAAATAAAGCACACCCAATGCCAGCTTCTTTGTTACATTTATACCTTGAGTTCATGCATATTCTACTGATTCTAATACATATTCATTCTAATCTACATGAGCCTGTGTAATTGTGTGGCATCGTTCTTGGTTCCTTTCCAGGCCCTTCTGCACATGGCTTCCTTTCTTTGGGGTGTCATCGGTGGTCTTCCCTAAAGAAGTGCCCTAACCCCTTTTATCCAAAATGGTCACACCCCACCTAAGGGCTACTTAAGGCTACTTTCTCTTGCCACCTTACCTTCGTTTCTTCCAGAAGGAGCATTTTGTTCCTGATCAAAGGGAACCTAGCTTAAATGTTAAACATAACTTTTGTCCTGTACTATACAAATGGTACTTGATTATAGGGATGCTCAATTAAACACCGACAATACCTCTTCTTTTCCAAGGGAGGGTTTGTTCTGTTACAATCAGAAGGGACCAAATGTGTTCCTGGATCAAAATAAAAACTGCAGCCAAAGTTACTAGGAGTTCTCGTGATTGTAACAGGATTAAAATTGACCTGTCTTTTAAGTGCCTTTATGTGGCCGGACTTGTTTTAGTCAGCTTCTTAAGTTTAATTTTCTGAAGGCTGATATGCAATAACTAAGGCAGTTGGATAAAACCATCAAAATAAGCACCCAATAAAACATTCGTAGGAAAGTCAGGCACGAAGGAAATATGACAGCAAGCTACAAGAACATATTGCTTACACGTACAGTTGCTAGTCCTGCAAAGTGACCTGAAATTCCTTAGTCCTCAGAAACCAGAGAAAAGGGAATGACAGGGACCGGAAAAACTTGATCTTTTTATTTGTTTCAGTGGTCCTTCCACAATATCTGTCATTTGAGAAAGCACTACTTCTCCATCGTGTTCACTGGAGTACAAGACAGCAATCTCTTCCCACTTCTACCATACCTGAGCCCCAGCTTATCCCAGAATTAAAGAGCACAATTAAATTTTACTGCAGAGCAGAACAGGAGGGACTTTCAGAAACCTCAAAGCACTTTACATAGAAATAACACCTATCACAGTATTTAACAGACAGGATTTCTATGACTAAATCTTCACAGAGAACAGCAATTTCCCTGAAATCACAGCACAACTCTGGTCATGTCTAGACTACAAAGGTTTGCCAGCATAGGTATGTAAACACCACAGAAGGGGGAAATAAAAGTCAAATATTTGGCCAACTTCAGTGTATTTACAAAGACCTACCACAAAGAGCTACAGCAAAAGAAGAGAGCTTCTTTCAGTGCCAGCCATTCTGGCAGGATGGCTGAGGTACCTAGAAATCACAGGACTTGTTCTCATGGCATACACCACTTCAGTGTTGCACAACCCCCTGGCTTCTGACTGGTGCCTGAGTTAGCACACTGCTGACATGACAGAAGCACTCTGCGCATCTGCAGAGAGGAAGGGGCCCTTCTTGGGCTGGGATCTCCCACCCCAGGGGTATGATTTTTACTATTACGAGGACAGCTCATATTATAATACTCCTCTTCTTCATTTCTCAGCCAACTACTCACGTTAATTTGATTGGTAACGTACTCGAGGGCAAGGTCAGAACATTTCCCTCAAGAACATCAATATGATGGTCTTCCTGATGAGCAGTTCCTCAGTTAATCACCCTTTAGACATCTCCAAGGCCTGGGTCATCTTGCCCTTCCCTCAAAGCACGTATTTTCTCTCACTCAGAGTTAACTGTACACTGGTATCATCAGCACCATAGCTTCTACCAACAGATGACAGTGGTGCAGCACCTAATGCAGAACTGCTTCGCCCAGGAACAAAATCCCATCCCATTTTCTAGCTAGCAACTTCTATGTCCTAAATCACTGGAGTACCCCAGCCACGAAAATATTTCTTCTTCCCCATCTGCTCTTAATGAGACTAGAGAAATCAAATCTTTCACAGCAGAACACGTGGGAAGGATTCTGTGTAAATGTGCACATTTTGCATTCACCCAGGTATGTGCAAGCAAACAACTCACTGCACGAAAAGATACTTATTTCTGTGATTAATTCCAGATGCAGTGCGGGATGAGTTTGCTGACAGTCCAGTGGTAAGTGCCAAAAGCAGTTTCATGTCTCACAACAATTCCATCTCCTATTGCAGAGAACTGGGGTCAATGACAATCAGTTTGCACGGGATGTTTCGATTTGGAAGAAGCCACCTCTGATGCTGGTTGGACTCCTTTTGGTAATAGAGATCCCGAGTTGCTCTCTGTGTTCAATCTCTCAGTTCACTTGGAAATGCCTGTAAAATTTCTAGTTACAAAGAACACAGGGGCCTAGAATTCCAACTATGCTGTGTTTTTTTCCCAGGACATTGCAGGAGGAGAAAAGGGCAAAGTGCATCAGCAGAATTTTACCTTGAACCACTTCATGGCACACTCACGGGGATTGTTTTGCTAGCAGTGAGTTACCGTACCACCACGCGCTGGTACCAGCCTCTCCAGCCTGTGCTGAGGAGACCGCTCAGAGCAAACACATTCCGTGACAGCCCGAGTTTGCTGCTTGAGCTAATTCTCTACAACTTCCGTGTGGTGTTTGAATAGCATAAAGCAACCTCGCGAGGCATCTGCACCAGAACTGCCTGCCCTAATCGTGATTGAGAACTGCTACGAGATGGAAGCTATTAGCCCCTTACACTTGTTCCACGGTACAGCAATGCAGCACCACAAATGTGGAAGGATAAACAGGTACAAGTTTTTATACCTGCAGTTTTCAGGGATGTAACCAAAGGGCTGGTGTATTTATTCTCTAAAATCTCGTGATTCAACCATGGTGGCATGTTGACCTTAGAAGGAAGTATCTCCTTTCAACCCACGGTCAAGAACTTGTACTCCAAGACTCTGCTGATCCCCAGGGTGGATATTGCTTGTAGATAGCATTTAAATACCTTAGACCTCGGTAGCAGTTAACTACCGTCTTTTCTAAAGAGCTCAAGGAAGAATGCTTTTGTTCTGCTACTTTAAAAACATGTTTTAAAAGGAAAATGCTGAAATGTGATGGATCCCAATAAGTCATCCCAAAATCAGATACCCTTGAAGAAAGGTATCTTGCTGGTCACAAGAAAACCTCAAAACTGACTGTATCTTACTGCTCCATGTTGATGGCACTTTTTCAGCTTCTTTATTTTATTTTATTTTTTTTTTCTCCACTTCCCTCTGTTACATTAACAGCAGTCCAAATAGCTCCACAGGAACAGAGCAGTCATTAACATCAAAGCCATGTCCTGTCTCATGCCCTATCTTCATCAGTATCCAGTAACAGATGTTCTAGACAACAGTGCTATTTATTTTTTAGAGCAGTCATCTATGAAATATCCCAGTGGTAAAATTCCTCATTCTTATGCTACGAGTACTTGTTCATCTTTGCCTTTCAGCAGCAGAATCCATGGGAAACGCATTATTGGAGAAATAAGGAAATGAAAGACTTTCCACTTAACCTTTGGAAATCTCGTGCACTCAAAAACTCAAACACCGTGCAACTCAGCTGCTATGGCTTGAACAACTCTAAGTGGTGATATGAAACCTGTATCAGTGCAGAGCAGGTGAAGCAAAAGCTCTACAGAGACCACACTGCTTTCAGACATATGCCAGAGATTATCATGATCAATGTTAACAACATTTTCTCGCTAAGGTTGGCTTACTAGCAGATTACAAGGTAGCTGAGAGCACTCAGCACACCCCAATGCTGTCAGATACGAGGTTTATTATCCTGATACAGGTTAATTATCCTGCAAGAGAAATAACTCAATTTAAAAATGTTTCAGTTTATTTTTGTTCTGTTACATAATCCCCCACCCCGTTAGGTTTTTACTGAAAATACACCCCTCTGCCAGAGCATCGTTGTTTACAGATTGATCTCTTTGCCTGGAGAGCAGCAATTCCAGATGAGTCTTCCCAACAGATGTGACAGGCAGAACAACCCACTGAAGGGCTTCACAAACCCACAGCACCTGTAACAGGGTCCCTTAGCACGGGCAGCCTAAAAGGGGCTAAGACAAGGCACAGTTCAGAGGTTTCACCTTCAATCTGGTGTCCTACCATCTCTGGGCATCACACTTTTGTCATTTTATGACACCAGAAACAAACAGAAAACCACAAAGTGAAGGCATTTGCATAAGAAAAGCCTCCTGTTTATGTAGTTTATGGAACATTGTGACAAGCTTCAAAATAGCCTAGCAATGCGAGAATTGTTTTGCATAGAACTGATAGTATCTCCCAGGTGAGTATAAAATGGTACATTAACAATGTATTAAAAAAAAAAGGTAGGCACTGAATTAAATACAGCATCCTACACAGGAAAGCAAATCAAAGACAGGAAACCCAAATCCAAGGGAGTTTCTGACTTGTCTCAATAAGAAATTTAACATTCACATTTTTTATTGTCACAGGGAGGTAGCACACTACGCTATCTCCAACACAGCAGGAAGAGATGCTATCATCCTGTTCTACGATCTTTTTCTAGGTTGCTCGCCATCAGGAGTCAGCTGGCACAGCAGTCCCTGGTGCATTCTTTTCCCGGAGGAGGATGTGAGTACCTGATATAACGTTCCCACCTGTTCTCCAATACTATGATAGTCCAGCAGTATTCTCTCTTCAGTGCTATACTGAAATCTGATAAGAACTGAGACCGCAGCCTAGCTAGCATAAATGAAAAGTATTAGAGGATTAAGTTCACCAATTCACCACACCGAGAGAAGGCATATTTAAGCAACCCCTGGCTGGCCAAAGTTCATCTCATAATCATAATTTAAAATATTGTATGCCACATTTTTAAGAGGAAGATACTTTACACGAATGGATATTTAAGCAGCATTACTTGTTCTTTCAAATCCATGCCCAGCTTTCTTTAAAAAAGATGTTACATGCTGGTTAAAAACGTGTCTTGTAATCTCGGTTTTTCTTACTTTGTTTTTATATTTGAACAGACCCCCACTTCCTTCAAAGAGACAAAAAAAAACAACAAACAAACCCTGAAGGCTGCATAAAGACACAGCGACAGCATCTGCCCTAGGCTCTCTGTGACTCGCGTTACTGTGATCAAATGGCTGAACGGTGGGCATGATTTAGGGGAAAAGAGATCTGCTTCTTTGCATCTACAATAATTTCTTGTTTAGGACTCCACAAATTGAAAAGCTGCTACAGGATTCTTAAATCAGCATCATTCAGTTACAATAATTAAGGGCAAAAAGAACTGTTTAAACTTTCATAACATTTGACAGCTACAACATTAAGGTTGGCTAACACAAAGGTTTTATCCTGTCAAGCCTTTACCTTATTTAATGATCTTCAAATTCCAACAAGAAAAGAAAAAAATATCTTTGCAAAGAAGTGGCAGAAGACAGGCGTACAATTTAGGGGTGAATGCCTCTGAAAGCTGGGTTTACTAGAGACAACTCTCCCAAATCACAAGCCACAGTTATAAAAGTAAGTATATCATGCCAGTAACAAATTTTCAAAACAGTTCACAGCCACTATCCAGCCAACTAAATTCCACAGTCCAATGAAATAGACTCCAAAGAACATCTTGAGCTTTACTTCCACATTTGCTTTGAAATGTTGAATTTGAAAACAATTTCTGACATTTAAAAGAAATTATGAATTGGACATTTTCCTAGTTTGTCTTCTACCAGTTTCTAGCACTAACAAGTGTAACCTCCTCTTTCTATGCCAATGTCAGTATTTTGCAGAGGGGAATGGAAAAATGTGAACATGAACCAAAAAAGTTTGACATTACAAGTAAGAAAATGAGATTGAGGTAATTGTTCTTCAGACCTTAAGGTAAATTTAGGCTCAATGTTTAGCTTCACTAAATTCTCTAGCACTAAACAGTAAGATGTTGCCTTCCTCCCCAGCGACAGTATTACTGCCAATGTTTTGCTCCGTCTGATCTCTAGTTAAGACTCAGATTCATCCTGTCCTGGCTGGCAGTTTGGCAATGATGTTTACAGGGGGATTTTCTGTTAGACTAATTCTCTTCAGATTCTTTGGTGAAATCACAGAGATCTTAGTTAGCTTGCAGCTTCACATGCTTTTTGGGTTAACGCTGTCAGAGAACTGTTATTAAAACCTTTAATTATTAACATACGCAGAATTAGGCATGTACATGGTGCCTTGCAGAGGAAAGAGTGCAGACAGTATCAAGTCCTGTACTCCAAATGTGTAAGAACAAAGTACATGATAATCCTTCAGTTAAAATAAGGTGTAGAGATGGTAATAATGAATACTATAAACATATAAATATAATAATGACTAACAGAAACACTAAAGACAGTGAGATGAGGTGTCACACAGTAAGTTTAAATTAAGATCACAACTCCAAGCAGTAAGTGCAGCATGAAGGAAAATGTGTATCAGAGTTTTTAAAAATTGTGTTTTTCTTAAATAATTGTGATTATGCAAACAGGAAGAGACAGAAACTTGTTATCTCTCTATAAAGACTTCATTCTCACAGAGAGAAGGGACTTTAGACGATGAGAAGAGGAGCGGAACAGATGGTAGTCATCATTTTCTGTCAAATACTGCAACACCAAAAGGATGTGCCAGTGTAAACATGTAACAAGAACAATTCTTGCTACTCCTTCTCTGTCTTAATAACAACTAAATATTTAATTTCTCTTTGGATTGAAGGGCTTCATTTAGAAACGTACTACCTGTACCCACCACATTAGAGCAATTAACACTCAAGATGAAGCAGCCAAGAGAACTAGGTCCTTCAATCAAATTATGATTCATAATACTTAGTCACTTCACCTGACAGAAAGATCTTGTCTATCTGTTAGACAGCAGAGTACATCCATGGTACAGATGTAGTGGCCAGAGAGGCTGAACAAACTAATAGAGCAATAATTAAGTATCTTTAAGGCAGAGTTAAAAAGAAAGTAAAATATCCACTGCTGGGTGCAAGAAAAAGGAGAACTGCTTGAGCTGGAGAGAGAGTAAAAAAAAAAAAAAGTTTGTTCAGCCTTTACTAGTGGACTACAACTAATCACTTCCAATATATGTGTCAAACAAGATGTTGGAGGAATGCTGGAGAACAGCTCACTTTTCAAAGAAGAAACACAGAACATAGCTCCTGTTCTTTACCGCAGTAGGATCCCTCCACAAACATGAGCACAGCTCATTTCCTCATTCTGACGAACATATTAGAACAGGGCATCACACTACTCAAAACAGGAACTAATGAAGCATGGCTAGCACAATTCCCATAAAAATATTCTCAGGCCTACAAATCAGAACGCACTCAATCAATATTACTGTACTCAAATATAAATAGAAGCTGATAATGCCACTCTAAAAACCAAAAAAGCAAACAAACAAAAGCAAAAACAAAACCACAAAACATAAAATCCAGAGTACATATCTTTATGTTACTTAGCCATCCTGCTATGTGTGGAACGTGGCCAAGAGATTAAAGCAAATGCCATTTTAGAAGTAGCTCTTTGTTCCACTTGCACATACAATGATGCTTTTAATTAAAAATAATGTGTTCAGAGGAAGAATCTGGGAATTTTTCAGCAGTCGCTCTCAGAAGGGGAAAAAAGTATTTTCAGCCTTAATTACAAAGCAGACCAAAACTCTTCAGAGAGAAAGATGCTCTATTTTCCAAGTCACTTTTCTTTAGGGACTTAAGCAGTAATTAGAGCTCTGTTTGCCACATTTGGAACTTGCACATTAAAGAAGACTGCCCTTATTCTGGGATCACGTGTTGTGTGTAAAAAGTATTCTTGCAGGCTCAGCAAAGCAATGCACACTACCACAAAGGTTCCTCTGCTTGTCTGGAATTTGAATACAGCAACTATAATGCGAGAAATGAGCACAGGAATATACACAATAATCAATTCATTTTGCCTACAGCAATAAGCTATACTTCATCTTCCATCATGCTTTGCTACTTCTCCACCTACAAATTACCTGACAAACTGTCACTGAAGAAACAAGATTTTCTGGGAGTATTACCATTCAAAAGTTATTATCCCAAACCTTCTCATTCACCTGTTGTAATTAATTAGAACAAATTTGGCCATGCATATGCTATTAAGAAGTCTGAACTTATTTCACAGTGCTTACCATAATAAAGCAGTGTGATTCTATGTCTAAAAATATTGAATATGTCTGAAAGCTTTGCTGAAATCCTGCACATACAGACTGAAAACATGGTTTTACCATATATAATGACTACATGAAAGAAGTATCAAGGGTATCAAGAGGATTAAAAAAAAGAAGTTTTTAAAACACCTGATAATCCAAAACCTATCTTAGACAATTCATAGAGACAAACAACTATAAAAGTTACTACCAACTGTGCTCTATTTTGAATGAGTTATTTCAACATCACGACTGCCTACATTTACCAACAAAACAAAACAAAAAAACCACCCAACTAATAGAATCTAGGAGAAGTAATGAACAAGCAGAGTTTATGTAAATGTGTACCTACAAGTTTTTATATATGAATTCAGATGGGAAAAGATGTCGACTGAACAGTCATAAGCCTGACAGCATGCCAGATCCTTCTCCACAAAGACTTCAGCTCTGACAATGACCTAATCCTTGTCTTTGGACAACTTCAACCGTGGATTGATTTTCTCTAAGCTGCCTAATTGCTTTTGGTGCCGATCTTCCATTGATTTTCAAACCGCATGAGCAATTTGTGCACTCAAGTCTCAGTCTTAGCTTACTTCAGAAAGGAGCACTATCCATTTCAGATGAGAAGCATGACATCTCAGAAGAACAATGCCAATCAAAACATTAACCTTACATTTCTGGGTGTATATGTACATTTCAGACAGTGGCTTTTAGGATCAATCCTATCTTACAGGTTCACCTACAGCAACTAGGTAAGTTTTCTTATTTTAGCTATAGCCATACTATGAAAGTATGGGGAAACTGCCTACTTCAACAGGATTGGAAAAGCGGAAAGTTAAGCAACACACTTGATTAGGAAAGGTTTTATCTGCAGGGCAAAGTCAAAACTCCAAGTGAATTGTGACAAGACGAGCCAAACCTCAGGACTGTGAGCGTGTCACTTGCTTTTCCTGCAGATCGCTCAGCTGGACAACGCAACGCAGCTGTTGGGTTTTGCAGGTTGTCTTCTCATCCCCCAGGCACCTCTTCAGCAGCAGAACTACGTGCCTGGGACTCGGTCAGAGAGGTTTCAAGCTGGGACATAAAAAAGAAAAAAAAAGTTCAGTTTCTGGGGGACGTTAAATGGGACAAACAGGGCTGGCGGCACAGAGCTGCTTGGGATGGTGGCTCCTACTCTGATGGAAAAGCGCAGGAGGGACTTCCCCTTCCCGGATCCAGCCCCGAGACCTGCCCCCAGCCCGCTGCCGTTCTTTACCCTCCAGTAACGGCCGCGGCCGCTCCCACCAGCGGGCAGAAGGGCACCCGCCGGTGTTTAATGGGGGCGGCGACCCAGCCCCGGGGCAGGGCACCCGAACATCGCCTCAGGCTCCCGGCCGGGCTCGGGGCGCCGCGGGAGGCCGCTCCCTCAGCCCCAGCCGCTCCCTCAGCCGCCTCAGCGCCTCTCCTCAGCCCGGGGCCTCTGCCCGCCCCCCCCCCGGCCCCGTTACCTGCCGCGGCCGGAGCCGGCACCGGGCTCGCCCTGAGGCTCCCCCCGAAGCGAGGCGGCCGGGGCCGGGAGCTGGAGCCCTGCCGCGGGGGCGGGCAGCGCCGGGGCCCTCCCCGGCCGCAGCGGGGCTGGAGGAGGAACAGCCCTGTGAGCCCTGACGGGGCTGCATCGCTCCCTCACGGCTTTCAGCCCCTTCTGCCCAACCATCCCGGTCTGCTAGGAGTCGTCCCTTGTCCCAAAGAGCATTTAGTGGCGCTTTTCTGCTCTTTCGCTATGAACAGCGATAGTAATTGCTGTTAAAGCGGGTTACTTTGGGAATTTAAAGCAGCCCGTGGCTGGTCTCTTCTGAATGTTAAGGCTTGTCTTGATCGTTTTCTTCATGCACACCAAGCATGCTAGCCTCGAGTTCCTGCCCTTTCCAGGGCATCTATCCTCACCAACAGCTCCATGCTGCTTCTCATGAGATGCCAAGTGCAAATTCTTTAAATATTAGTTTTTCTGCACTTGAATGGTATTAAGCACATCATGCTTCTGGATCATGAGCAGGACTCTCAGACCCTGTGGCCATAGCAGTAGTAAACAGCAACGAGCAAGTTCCCTCAGTCACACAGAGGGCAGAGGAAGCTTACACCAGGTCAGCTCTTCACCTGCTTTCCTCTTAACTGGAACTGTTTGGGCCGCTTTCTGTGAAATCAGTACAACTTCCACAGACTATCAAAGGAAAATGGAGATGCATATATCACTAAAACCAAACTCCCCGGTCCAGCATTCCTTAAAATTATTTTTGCTTTAGACTCTAGAGCTGAGGCAGAGGAGCATTATAACCACCTTTAAAGAGCTGCTGTTTGGTAACAGCAAACAAAAATTAGGGGAAGGGTATGGCCATGGTAGAAGCTTACAGGACCAGTAGTGGGAGCGAAACTGCAAAGAGCTTTGACTAAGGATGATATAAACACAGAGAAACTGGAAACTGTGCATGTGGTTATAGAACAGCTTTTATCTTACAATGCACAGAACTATGTTTTAAAAGACATTAATGAGAATTTACTACAGATAATTGCTAATATCTAAACACCATGAGTTGCAGACTGGGAGACAGTCATCTGCCAAATGAAATAATGTAAAGTAGTATGCAATTTGCATTACAGGAAAGTAAATTAATTGCTATAATCTAGGTAGATATGCCAGAACAGGGTTTGAGCTGAAGAAATTTCTCATTTGCTAAGTGCTAAGCCTAAGTGCTCTATTTAATACCCAGAAAAATATTTTCTTTTACTGAATAAGGAGCATCATGCAGATGATGCAGTAAGGTCATGCAGTTTATTATTAATGTCTGACACCTACACATGTAGTCTTCACAAGTGTGACAATGCAGAATCTCCCTCTACTGAGAGAGAAAAAAATCTGCTATGAAATCCACAAGCAGAAGGAAGTAAAGATGCAAACGTGTAACATTCCTCTTACAAAGAGAAGTCACCATGGTCAACTACAACGAGAAAATCAGATGAATATGTCTTAAAGATCTAAAGAGAAAGAAGTTTAAAATAAATGGAAAAGAAGAAAGGAATGAAGAGTCAGAAAATAAGGAAGCTTAATACAGAAGTCAAAAGAATGAAGAAGGAAAACACGTTTCTCTGATTATGAAATCAAAATGGCCCACTTTCACCATCACTGAAATCATATCCAGTAGGTGTTGCAGTGTTTGCAAGTGTTTCTATGAGTGGCCGTCTGAATATGTTCTGCAAGCACCTTAAGAATTTACCGGTTTGGAGCTATTGCATGTTGGCCAGTTGCTATTGCAGTCATACACACCTTTCAACATGCTGAGCCCTCTTAACACCGCCCACCATTACAAGAATTACAGCAGTTTTATACAACTGTGAAATACTCCTAACTGTGTGTTCAGTTCTGGTTACTCTGTTTGAGAGGCCACCAGGGAGCTGTAGCCTTTAGAGAGAGAAAATCATCTACAATCTTTGGTTCTACGCTGTTGAGTACCATCCAGATGAACAAGAAGAATACTGAAATAAATTCAGTCATAGCCAGGTTTTTAGGTAAATATTGCACAGCACGTACATCATAGAGCATTTAATGGGACAGACATAAGGTTTTTACAAACAAATTAAGGAAATCACAAAATGCAAGTTATTTAGGCTCTCTAAGCCATACTAACTGATGGCTTTTCACTCCCTTTGTTCTCAGCCCTTCAAGGAGCTCCCACATCCTGTCTTTTACCACCTCAAGCACTCATCTAACCTTCTGTGAAGCCATCTCAGCACACAAATCAGGGACAATGCCAAACCCAGCAGGTCTCCAGGCCATTAAATATTCTGAAGCATTGGTAAACTGAAATGGTTCAGCTAAGGCTGAACCACTAGAGCCAGTGTGATGGAGGTGCCAGGAATCAGCAGCCAGCTGTTATTATCACCTAGCCAGGTACGGAATCCCAGTCTTTGCACATTTATTAGATGAACATGGAATATTGCTGCAGTGGTTCGGAAGCTATTTGAAAAACAGTTGTTTGAAACATGTTGAAAGCATGGTTGGTTAATAACCATATTTAAAAACTGTCATGTTAAGTGGTCCTGCATGAGCAACACACAGATTTTTTCCATGGGTGTAAGCCCTGGTGAATCTTTCTTATTTCTTTGGCTACTGCCCTCAACTACCAGGTAGCAGTGCCATAGAAAATTTGTTACAAAACAAAGCAAACTTCCAACAATCAGACACTAACTGAAAGGTCAGCTTCCCCCTTGACTCAAAATTTAAAAGGTATCTTTTATGGCAATTTAAAGACATTGACTTTCACATTCACCAGTCTGAAGCATTAGTTCAGCTGCTGACTCCCTAAAGGAACAGATGTCCTTGGGAGTTAACAGCTTTAAGACATGGTCAGAATTTGCCAGTGTTCATTTGTCAGTGCCCTGAGACAAGCCTTTAATCTTTTAGCCACACAATAACTATATTGTAGATGGATATATATATATATATGCATCAGCAACCTGCTTAAAATATATCTATAGTCCTTTTATGAAGATATCACTTCTAGACAAAAAATGAACCCAATGTGCTAATACAACTTCAAAGGAAACAAAACAAATAAAAAACCTCTCCCTGACCTCTCAGTATGATTAACGGTTTAGCTTCTAACAGAATGACTAAATCACCACAAAAAGGGGACAGACGGATGTGAGCACACAATCAAAATTTGCTACAAAAACAAATAAAAATATCCATAACAGTGGTCTTGATTTAAATAGAAAACACTCTTTCATAAAAGCCATCATTACAGTAGTAGAGAAACAGTGTACTCTTTGTTTTATAATATCAAAATGTCCAAAAACTAGGAACTGTCTTCATGGGGGGTACTAGTGGGTTGAGCATAAGGCTTTTGCTAGAAGCCTGGCCATTTTTTCAAATATGAGCACTCAAGCATGCCACTAATTACCAAAGATGTTTTGAAGAATGACCAAAAATAATTATATTCTCAGTTATGGGACTCCAAGAACAGACACCAGTAACTAACTTAGGCACATCATAAGAAATAAACACGTATATTCACCAGTTCAACCATGATCAACAGAGCGCCTGCACTAACATGAAGGCAATTAACTCTGCTGTCACGTTGTGACAGTGTTTTTATTGGGTCAGTCCTCAAGACTTTAGTTTTACATGGTCCAGTTTAAGCCCACATTCTCCTGACAGCCTTTAGTGTTACAACACACTTGCAGGGGCTAATGAGAAACTATGTTTTGTATTCTGCTGAGTAACTATTCTGCTCCTAAAACACCATAGTATCATTCTCATCTCAAAAAACACCTCTACAGACTAAAAAGCCCATCTGACTTCCACGCATGGTAATTCAAAAGAGATAATTCAGCCCCATATAAAGCTAGGTAGCTTTATCTGGAAGTCAGTGTGAGGAGTCTACTAACTGTAAAAGTAGCAACAGATTAAAGGTGTGTTTTTACGTCACCTCCAGCAACAAAGACAATTCAACTCTTGCCTGTATTTAAATACCAGTTTTTGAGCTTTCAAGGCATGTGTAGAAGATAAACATCTTTATAAACAAACAGTTGCAGTACCTTGAGTCATGCAGCGTCTACCTTTAAAGCGGTATCAAGTCTTCAGAATAGACACCTCCATGTCTTGGGAATCAAATCACTATTAACGTAAGCAAAGTGTAGATGTGGTTCTTCACAGACTAGACATTTCTTAAAAAAAAAAAATGGAAAGGAAAGGAAAGTTGTTAGTGGTACCATTCTTAAAGGATCTTTACAAGAAGGCTCCTTAGATATGCTTGACCAAAACAACTTTGTTTCAGTCATTTAAAGGTACCCTACCACAGGGCATTGTACAAAGAGTAACGCTGTCTTCAACTACGATCCCACTCCCTAAGGTCCCCCACTAATGCTCAGTCTCTTGAAGAAGTAGGACTGTTGCAGAATCTGGTATCTAGATGAGAATAACGTACATAGAAAATAAAAGCCACACGTCAGCTATTTGCTATATATTCTTTGTTCTACTTTAGATATCAAGCATCATTTAAAAGATGACTATTTCTGTGTTATATCGTTCCCTAAGAAAGGAAAAAAGCACAGATACATTGGAGGACAATACTGCGATATCATCCTCACTTAATAGGAGTGAAGTGAGATTTGTTCTGCCTATAGCAAGAGGGCTAACATGCTTTCCAGATTATGTATTCCCTTATAAAATCAAACTATTGTAATAAGTAATCACCAAAGTCTTTCTGAGCACGTCAGGCAGAAACCAAGGTTCCTTCACATTTATTACAGCAAAACAGTAATATATACAGTAATATTCAGTAATATTACCCACTTTTTTACACTGCAGGAAGGAACTTAGAGAGGTAAAATATAATTATTTTGACAAGTTACAGCATTCTTAGAAGCACTTGTTTGACTTCAGTTCCATTTCCCATTTTCACAGGCTCAAGCACAAAAGCACCTAATTTTCCAGAACAAATCTGATGCTCTTCAAAGTGCTAGCTCAGGACTTTGGTGAAAAGCAAAGCATAAGCATCTCTAAACCCAAACTTTTGTGACCAATTGTCACTTCTACAGATAATTTAAGGATCTTCCTGTAATCCAGGATATGCTTATAGAACAAGCTATATATTCAGAAGCTGAGAATTAAACCCCCTAAAATACCCATATTGTTTATCAAACTGTGCTCACAGAATGAAACAGTTGCTGAAGATGACTAAAATGCAGCAACAAAACAAGAGAAGAAGAGAAACCAACTTTTTTTTTTTTTTTAATAAATCATTCCACTTCTGCTGCAAAGGTTACATATTACTGCACAAGTTACCTATCCACTCCCGTAATTGGTGTAAACTGCCCGCTGGGAAACAGAAGCATTTGGTGATAATGCTGGGCTGCCAAATTCAGGGCTTCAAATGTAGATAGAATCACTCACTCTTTGGGGGCAGCAGCAGACAGTAAGCTGATTTTTCATCACACATCAATGGACACCTTCAAGTAGTTGGCAACACGATGGGCTAACCCATTGATAAAGTTTTATTAGGAAACAGTAACTACAGTACAATGCACACATGCATACTGTACTCTCAGTAATAGCAAAAGCGAGAAAAAAAAGCTTTGAGTTCACAGCATTTCTGCTATCCTACACAGTACTGAAGTAATTGAAAAGTCCAGGATAAAGTCAAGAGGCATGTGCCTTTTTCTAAAGGACCTACAAAAAGCTTTTTTTTTGTTTTTAAGTAATAGCTTTATCAATATTCTTGTTCATTATAATTGCATATTACCATCTGCATTTTTTCTGCACATATTTGGAGAACAAGCCAAGTAACCCACATCCTTAAGAAAGTAGCATTAATATTTCCTTATGGTTTTACAGAAATAATTTCTAAATTTAGAAAACTAGAAATCCATTTCCTTGCATTTTTTCCTTAAAAACTGCTACTGTAATCCCCCCATAGCTAGTCAGCAGTGGTCCCCTCTAAAACCTTCTTTAAGCCTCTCAGCCCCTTGGTGCACCAAGTCTGCCTGCAGTTCTCTCTCTCTCAGTTTTATCCTACAAGCACAAGCAAACACCACTCAAGCCTTTCTGTACCTTAGCTTACAGCAGACATCTACATGACAAACCAACTTGTAAGAGATGGCCAAAAATTACACTGATATAGCTGCAGCCTTTATACCTGTCAACAGCTTAAAGCTTAATGTGTGACTTCCGTATAGCGACCATACATACTGTAGAACAGTGCTTTAGGTTATTAAGTTACAACTGTTTAAATACTTAACATTTAATTGCAATATTTAATTGCATATATTAAGACAGTAATTTGGAATACCAATTAAAATCCTCAGCATCACTGTTTAATTATGAACAAAGCTTAGCATTCTCTCTGGATTTATCTGTATTTCAAAAAACAATTCAAAAGAAAAAACATTATATATAGTTCATGCCTACGTATTAGAATTTGGAGTAACCACCAGCAATTCAGCACTCAATTTTTCAACAGTATGCAGCACTGTATGATCAGCTGAATGGGTGGTGTTCTCATGCAATATTCAAGGCCTCAGTTTTGGTTTGAGTCCTTGGAAAATATGGGAATTCCATCGCTTCTGAGTAGCTCAATTATTTTCATGTAAGTGAGAACAGGTAGTTATTTAAGAGGGCTGTTGTATTATATTTAAATGCCAGCACAGAAATCTTTGTACAGCTCTGTTTTGATTTCATGGCTTAATAGCATAATTACATTAAAAAAACATCTGGTTTTAGGTATGCAAAGCCTAGTCAAAGCAAGTATCAATTTCAGCTACTGGGTTGTCAAGCAAAAAGCCTTTGCAAAAGACAGCTAAAGTTTCCATCACCCTACCAGAGGCAACAATGGGAAACAAGTCTAAGCCACATGAGCATTCATCTATTTTTGTCAGTAGTATTTAAGTATTTATTAAGCTGTTTTTCATCCCTTTTTTCAGTTGGCTGACATCCATCTGCTACACGTAACATTTGAAAATGCAGTTAGCAAGCTGCTAAAATGACGACTCTGGAGAGTGTTTGGTTGCATTTTCCTATTAACATAATAGGCAACAGTTTCTAGAATTTGTCTTGCTGATATATTTCGCCTAAGGCAAGGATGGAAAAGGTTCCCCCTGCTAGTATAAAAAAGTTCAAGTACTGGAAAAAAATCCTTCTGATATTTAATATCAGTATTTGCATAACAAGAAAAACTATCTGCTTGAGTATTGCTAGGTAACTGCAAAAATCTGTGTGTTACTTTAAGGTTTTAAATACAGAAGTTTAATTATTTAGCCAATAACAGTTCTACAGACTGCATCACTGATAATGTTACACAACATATGACCAAGATCAATACAAAGATCTAAGATCTGCTAGTGACCGTGTTAGTATACATTGGCAATTTTAACACTTCCATTCAGAAAACACCCATTCTTCTACCCTCCCCCCCAAATATATCATTTACGTAAATATTTATTAGATCCAGTCATCATGCTACAGTATCTGGTTAATAAACCTCACTGTAAGAATACACCAGCATAACATTTGAACACAATGAAATCTATATGAAATTTTATCATAACTTTGCGGAAGTACATGTGTGGGCCATCAAAATCAGGCAATTTTGTACAGTACATTTGTAAAGATCTGTCTTCTTAACATACTTAGTGTGTTAGAATAGTTTCTTGTTCAATTCCCAAAAATAAATATAAGCTTTCGATTGAAAGCATTTATTTTCATAGTTTTCTGAAGTGGAGTCTGGGGAAGAAAATACTTCAAACTTGTCAGCTTGTCCACTTCAGTACATAGAAGCATCTCCTGTCCCACTATTCATTCAATTCAGAGATTTTCTTCCAGTGAAATATGACTGAAGCATTCATTTTCTTTTCAGCAATTCAGTCTGTTTCCATGGCAGCACTGCGGGATTCCTTAGACACCATGAGTCGCATTAGCTGGCTGTGGAATTTCTCGATCTTCTTTACGTCTTGTGCTTGGTCTGTTCTATAAAGCAGACACTGTAAGAGAAAGTTGCTTAATATTAGATTTCACTTGCACCACTTTTATCCTGCTCATAGTTGCAACAAATTTGTGCCTGAACACACAGAAGAAGGTAAGTATTTACATGCTCATTTGTGGCATTTGGTTACCACGAGGCAGCACCACTACATGCCTGCCCTCTTTTAAATTTTAAACACACATGCATACACACTACATTTTCTCAGAGGCTCTTGCTTTCGATTTTAAAAGTAGTGAAGCTCATCATTTTGAGCGAGTGTCTTCTCTCTCAAAAAAGGTGCTACAACTTGCACTTTAAAACTGTCTTTAAGGACACCCTTGTTTAGGCTTTAAATCTACTATGCTTAGATAACAGAATTAACTCTCTATTCTCTATTCTGAAAGTGAATACACACCTCCAGTAGCATAACGTTAGTTCAGTATTTCCTACTGAAGAGGATCCCCTACCCCAAGCAAAATCTGTTTGAGATAGTTCTAAATAGTGAAAATATCTGATAAAGAGGAATTATTTCACATGACAAGCCTGTAAATGCAAAAGGAACAAGAGTAGTATCAGTGACTGATCAAAAAAAGGCCGCTTAGGGGTTTTTTTTGCATGGTAATTTCTTATGCTTGTACACCATAAGCATGACTGTTCAGGCCTATTTAATAATAAAACCAATGGTCCATCCTTCAGTGCTCTCAACACAGCACCTTTTGCCAGCAATAAACCATCTTAATTCAGAGCCAAAGAACAGAAAAAAAAAAGTTTGATTTTTCCTTAGTTCTGCAGCTATCCTGCAAAGAAACCCTCTCCCTCTCTCTTTATATAAAGCAAAGGAACAATTCAGACAGTGTAACAGCCTCTCACAACAGGCAGCACGTAAGAAGGTCTGTAACTGAAAACAGCTGAAGTTTACAAGTCAACTATCTCCAATCTTCCACTATGGAAGATTTCAACTGACCTGCCCTTCACTCCCCTGTTATCAGTGCGCCATTTTCATCACCTCACCCACTGTCAGCCCTATTATCCTATCAAGAAGCAGCATTACTGAAGTTTTGCGTCTTTCCCAGATGTCTGAAATACCAATACCAGACTTTGTCCCAGAAAGGAGAAACGTGATTTTTCCAAATCTGAACCCAAAGAAGGGCATACTACTTGCTGATGGTTACTCAGACTGCAGAACAACTTGGCTTTAACATCACCAGCACCAGGAACATATGGTGTGCTGGTGTGCACATGCAAATCCATTTCTACCTGCTGTCTACCATCTCATAGCCTAACTTCAAATATTTCTAAGCACTATTTAGAACAAGAGCAATGCAGCTGCTCCATTGCCGTCTACAGCAACCACTGAAAGCATGCTGCAAAATTCTGTGTTATATATGCTGCAAAAAGTTCTGTGTATAGTAGCACAAGCTCTGCTGAATGCGTAACAAATGGTTCTGGCACCATAGCAGTTATTTCAGAAGATGGGATTTCTGAAGTGCAAGCGAATTTTGCCGTTTACTCTGATACCAGTCCAGCATCTCCTACTCACAAAGAAGCAGATAGCCCTACAGTTTCAAGTTATTATCACTCTGAGCAAGTTGAAAGGACCAAATTCTCACTAGCAAACAGCTGTTTGAAGATGATCCTGATGCACTTCAGTGGAAGCTACCAACATAGTTCCATGAAGAACTTTCAAATTGAGAAAGGGTTTAAGATTTTTGTAATGCTTGTTTCCTTGTTTTCATAGAATCCTAACAAGACCTCTAAAAAACACTGAAATGTTCAAACTTCCACTGGATTATGCAGAGTTGAACATAGGTCAGCATGTCACAGACAGAAACTAAGAAAGTCTGAGCAAAATTAGTGGGTTTTTATTATTTTATTTTAGAAAACCCTCAGGTGCTCAAGACAATGGTTCATAAGCTGACTGACAGCAAAGTGCCAGTCCTCGAGAGGTACAGTCCGCCTTCTAAAGGGGACTGTGTTCTTTACTTACAGCTACGTCATCCGTTACTTTGATACAGAGGTTCCCATCACAGTGTCGGTATTTGAGAACAACCCGCACCTGAAATGACAAACATTTAAAAGTTAACACCTATAGCTATTAATATCTATTAATTCACATCTATTACCATCACAACATACCTGAGGGAAATTCAGACTGCCTGTTATTGAAGTTACATACTGCTTCACAGTTTCACGACCTCTTGGTGGTCCTCAGTTCCACTGTCCACAAACCTTACAGCCACGGTGGTTTAGAAGTTGCATCACCGTATTTCCTTGCCTAACGTATTAAATCGGTATTACAGTAATGTCAGTGAGCTTTATGTGGGGCATGTTAAAAACCTCTGTAAGTACAGCAATGGCAGTTGCAGGGGCCTCAGTAACAGGTATTGGCATGACTCCTGCTATTTCCTTACAAGACACCCACTTGCCATGTATCACACTTACAAAAAGTGAAAGAAAGTTGTGTTTATAGACAAGAATCACTTAAGGACAATAGTTCTATGTGAAAACTTGGAAAGGATAATTGAGTGGGGTACACTCACCATTAGATACTGTAGAAGCAAAGTAGTAAAGTATTGTGTAAATGCTGTATTTCCAGTCACTACAGTTAATAGCAACATTAAAGCCTATAGACAAGCTTGAAGCATTATAACACTTTTAAAAGTGGAAAAGGGAAGATACAAGTATAACATTTTTAGAGTAATTAATACCAGAGCTCTGAAGAGAGTTCTTTGAAATTAAACTGCTTTCAAGACTCAACAAGGCTACATGTGAAGAACTCAGAAAGCAAGCACTCAGCTTGTCACTAAAAATAATTCCTACTGTAGTAACCTGCCCTGAGATTCAGTCTACCCATAGCCCTTCTGGACTCTCAAATTACACAAGTTCTCCTAACCACCATGATAAACATCAACACTCTCAGCATTTGACTGAGCATTAAATGTTTCCTACTAAATGCAGGACTGGCCAAGGAGTTTTCTTATCTACTGTTTCTAGTGTCAGCTAGCATCAGTGCAGTATCTAGAAGGAAAGCAATTTGTGCTTTTAAGAACATTCAGAATTAGGACAACTGATGCTATAAAGAGATCTTTATCATACAGTGACCCACTGTATCATCAACCACCTTGACTACAAAATACATTTTGATATTTCTGCTCTGCAATGGATCTCTTTACAAGTTTATCCTTCTTGCTTAAGAAATGGTCTTCTAGCCACAACATCTATGTAACTACATTTCTCAACTGAGCAAGCCTGGATTAATTATCTTGCTCCCACAAAAGGCAAGACCACTCATTACCAAGCTTAATTGGCCCCAAAAAGAACACAGACGCATCTCCCACAGGTCTTACTCTTCCTTCAGTTTCTTGAAGAGTGCAACTATATGTGAAAGCTTCTCAAGCTAGCTCCCCTGCAAGTTAGAAGGAGAGTCCTCATATTGTAACTCTATGGCCTACGCTATCTTTTTTGCAAGGGGGAAAGCAACGCCTGGCTGCACTGACATCTTTTGTAAACTCTTCACTTAATTATACTGCAGAGCGTAAAAAGGTACAACGCATAACTTATTATCAGTAGACAGGTGACGATTGCACATGAAGGGGCATTTATGCTAGGTAAAGGCACACACACTACTTCTGGAGGTTCCTCTGTGCACCCTACTTTTGATGAACGAAACTAAGTCCCTTTTGCTGATATTTTCTCAGGCTTATGACTCCCACTTCACCTTTTGCACGGTTTTTTGGCCAAAACGTTTGTGAGACTGAAGTCTGCTCAAACTACACATCTGAGAAGAACTACTAAAACCCGAGAGCGGTCACAGAGCAAGAAGTTAATTCATAGAGCAAATGATCTTTAGGAAACACCCCCCTGAAGCAACACCGCAGGTAATAATACAACACATGACCTAATAAACGCTTCCTTTTACTTTTCAGCGAGACAAATTCACAGGGACGCGGCTTCACAGCCGAAGAACACCACAGCGAGAGCTCCGGAGCTACCGGGCCGCCCCCGCCGCCAGCTGGGGCCTCACCCGAGACCCACCAACACCCCCCCCCCAGGGGCCCTCCTGGGTCTGGGTCTCGGCGTGGGGCGTTCCCCGCTCACCTTCATGGGGTCGGCGAGGTAGAGCTTCTCCGCGGCGCGGGTGAACTCCTCCCAGGCCTGGTAGTGCGGCATGGCGCGGCGCAGGCGCGCTGCTCCCTCCTGTGCCACAGCCGGCGGCAAGATGGCGCCCGCGGCGAGCGGCGCGGCGGCGCAAGAGGCCGCCTCCCATTGGCCGGCGGGGAGCGGGCAACCAATCAGGAAGCGCGTGACTCAGCGATGGCGGCCCCGCCAGCGCGGCGCCAGGCCGCCACAGCGACCCCTGCAGGCGCGGCGGGGCGGGGCAGGGAGGAGAGGAGAGGGGGAGAGGCCTCCCGCCAGCAGCCTCGGGGTTGACGGGTTCGAATCCCGCCCCCCCCCCGGGCACCGTGAGGTGGCTCGCAGGAACCAGGCGGCTGAACGCGGTCCAAGTCCTCCCGCTGGAAGGCCCTTTGTGGCTCCAGGCTGAACAAAAGCGTGCTGGAAAAAAATAATAAAACAGCACGGGCGGCTCCGGGCCGCCGGGCTTCCAAAAGGCTCCGCCGGCGGCTGTGAGGGCGGCCGGGTCCGGCCCCAGGCTGGGCACCGCGGCGTTATGCGGGGGAATCCCGCTTTTCATGCATTTTGCGTGTGAATAAAGCATTTACACAGCGCTGACTCAACGTAATCTCAGAAAAGAGAGGCAAATAAATCCAGGATTTCTCCTGTGGCAATTCCCAGTCCCATTTCAGTTAGGTGACCCGCGGTCGTTCCTCAGTCCCACGGAGCCAGCAGGCTGCTGCTCAGCCACAGACCTGAAGTAAAGGCCAACACAAAACATCGAACCCTGCTGTTACCTGTTACCAGAACCGCCGGATAATCACCCACCATTTCATGTTACTGTTACCGAACTGAGGAAACTGTGGCCAAACAAGCTGGAAAGTTTAGGGCAGATCTGCTGGTGAGGGGACAAATTGCCCAGACCATCCCAGTCTCTGCTAGCGACATGGGGAAATCCCAGCTGTGGTTATTTCAAGGCACAATAGATGTAGGAGAGAATGAGGAAACATGGCACAGAAATAAAAGGGTGGATGGGAGGTAAGGGGAGAAAAACTAGAATGAATTTCCCTGAGTCAGTAAAGCAGAAAATAATTGTTACTGTGGAGATCAACCTTGGAAAAGTCTTTTGTCTGCGGTGATCAGACAGCCAAACTTTAATAAATTGCAACTTGTGGGTGTTATGTGGTCTAAGCAATTCTGCTTAAAGGCGTTTGCACCAATGTGTGAAGACTGAGCAGAGGAAGGCTCAAGGCTTTTCTTTCCAGAACTGCTCGCAGAGTTTTGGTGCAACACGGAGAACCCAGCTTCAGAAACTTCGAAGTTGTCTTTCAGAGGGGCTGATAATCAACAGCTCTAATCAAAGGCTTTGATAGGCGTACCAATAGAGTCTAAAGCAATTCAGCCAAACACAGAACCTAACCAGAGTATTTCTCTACCACCTCACATTTTGCACAGCCATTTTGTAACTGCAGAGTAGGAATTGCTTTTGGTAGTGGTTTACAGACGCACAGGGTTGTAAATATGTGCAAACGAAAGGTGTGGGGAGTGCACAACCTGTAACACACCTAGTTCATAGAACCAGTGCTCACCAAATTTGGATCCAGGTTTTCCAGTGGGATGCGGATATTTTCTTCCTGAAGGACGAGTCCCAGTTTTGGGCTGTGTAGTCAGCAGCACCTTGGGGTTGATTTTCAGAGGATTTTCATTTTGACTCAAATGGTCAGGATCCTTTATGTGTCCTGTGATGCAAGAACTGGCTTAAGTTTGCCAATGCCCAGTTAATAGCCCCAGAATCCATGCAATATAACAGAGCTAATGTAATTAGCAATTTAAGCTAATGTAAGAGAGCAAGATCAGAAAAGAAAAAAAAAAAAAAAAAAAAAAAAAAAGGATACATTTTTATTTTTCCTTAATGCAGATGATTTCCTAAGATCCATTTTAGGATGTAACTTCTCAAACTATTACATGTACAAAACACTGAAGGTGACAAGCTGAAGCAGCCAGGGCAAGGGACAGAGAGGGAGTTCTTATTTGACCTTATCTCTGAAGAAAATGTAGAGTGTCACTATGACAGTTGTATACAGTCCCATGCACAGTTCCACATAGCCTGCTCTTGGCTGCAGGATTTCCTATTCCCTTCCACCACCACCACCACCACCTGTGGCTCCACAGTTGTGCTGCCCCAGCTGCTTGTAACTCTGAGCTGGGGATCAAACCAGTGACCTGATTTGGATTAAAAGTAGCCCTGTTTTAGTTACACTTTTAAAAGTTGAGATCAGTTTATTTTTCCAGTTTATGGCATGGCCATAAGGACTGTTGTGCTGACACAGCTGTTGAAAACACACCTTTTTTGGTGGCAACACAGGATTTAGGAATTCCTACTGTTTTTGCTGGCTTGCCACCAAAAATGGCGGGTTGTACGTGAAACCCACAGCTTCCCTGAAAGCAAGGCTGCTTACTGAAATCTTGACAATTTAAAAGAGAGGCTATTTCTGAAAGCCAGTGAATGTCTGATACTTAGAGCTAATGTGCTGCTTCACTATATTGTTCTCATCTTGCTTGGAGAAGAGAACATTTTTTTGACATGTTTGAAAAGTAAGTTAGACCATTGAGTTATTCATCTGTACACTGTATTTTATGTGTGCTCAAAACTGTATTTTTCAAGTAAGTTTCAGTGAAACTAGTAATAGTAAAAATCTTTAAATAAGCTCTTTGTTTAGCGAAATAAAATGCTTGTTTTTCACTGTGTAAAGTGTTTGGTATTTAGCCAATAAAAAATTAGTAGTTAGAAAGAATTCTGCTAAAACATACATACGTATCTTGCTTGCTTTTCTAGGGCTCCTTCAGTCTTCCATGAAAGAAGTCATTCCTGCAGTCTTACAGCTATTTTATCACTAGTAAGTGAAATTTGGAGTGCTACAAAACCTTTTCTCATTCCCATCAGGTATATCCTTGCTATGTTCCCTAGACCACCTTAGATAATGTGTTTTTAGCTTGGATTTAAGGCCATAAAAAGCTATGAAGCAATCCTATAAGTACTTGTGTGATGAAGACTTTTCATGTGTTTTTTTTTCCTCAGGCCTTTCCCCTTCATCTAACCTGTGTGTACATGATTAATGATCTCTCTTTGATCAAGCTTCTACATGCATTGCCACTGCAAGTCCTGCTCTGTATAGTTATGTTCAGGCATCTGGATTCCACATCATAATTTCTTTAGGTTTTTATCTACTGTCTTCCTTTGCACAAATGACAAACTGAAAGAAAACAGTGGAAAAAGGCTTTGTATGATGTCTTAAAATATTATCTACTGAGATCTCAAGTTTTTGCAACTCCTGCAAAGTTCATGGAAACTGCAGCTGCTCAGCATCGCTCAGGGTTAGATATTTAATTTCTTGTTCTTTACATTAATGCTTGTGTTCAATCTAAATCAGGCGTCATATTCCTATTTGCAAGTGTTTTTTTCTGTCCTGGATAAGGAATTCAGATAAGAGTATTAAATTCATTAAAATAGTTATATGTCACCATGACACACTGCTGGCAGGTAAAATAGGCTGGTCTTTCTAGCTAAGAGTAACTTTTTATAAAAATCTCTGCATTATCATGTTAAATTATGGATGTGATGGGAAACTGTAGGACGTACTCTGTTCTCAGTTATTTTTTTATATGGGTAACAGCTTAATAAAGAAGAAAATTTGGTGCTGAGATGATAATCCTCTTCTTGGACCGGGAGCAACATAAAGTCAATGCAGTTATGCAGGTCTAAAAGAGTGTTAATGAGGAGTCAGTTATAAGGCAATTATTACTGCCAGGAATGCTTAATGCTTTAAGAAGGAGATAGAGGCACTTCTTTCAAAATAGCTTCAACCCATCCCTCAGTGAAGTTAAGGGGAAAGCATGAGCACAGTGATTATACATTCCATTCTTGTGTGTCTATGTTCTAAAACAGCTTGGGATTTGCACTGCTGCAAACTTTAGTTAAGCGGGCTTGTTTTATGAAAGGGTTATTTTATTTATGTGCGTAAGGATGCAGATACATCTTGAGGACAGGAAGCTGAGCAGTCGTCGACATCTCACTAGGTTCTGAACCTCAGTACCCCTGAGACACGAGTCTGCAGTCAGAAGTAGTTCACGCTCCTGGATGGGTTACAACATGCCAAACCGAGCCACGGTTTCTTCACTCCACAGCTCTTGAAGGAACACAAAACATACTGCTGCTTTCGATGGGTTTTACATGTTAAACAACTTGGTTAATGGTTTTGCCAGGCTGAACCAGGTATGATTAATTACATCAGTGCTAATTTCCTGCTTCTTTTGCACTCTTATCAAGTGATTCAGACTCATCCTGTCCTAAATGAGTAATTAAATATTAGTGTAGCTGAGCTGAAGCTGTTAAAGTGTGGTTCATGATGCTTAAGGCTGCATGTGGACAGCAGGATTCTGGGGCTCTGTCCAGTTCATGAATCTATGTGCCCGTCCCAGCCAAGTCACAACTTCAAGTCAGGGTGAAACCTAAGTGTCTGTTAATCTCCTTCCTTTTCCCCAGTGCCCTTGCTTATATGAAAGGAAACACTCCAAAAACATCCCTGGGTTGTGGGTAACCTGAAGCCTTGGGCACACCGTCATCCACACTTGCCATACCTTCCCCAAGGCATCATTGTTTTCTAGCTTGCTTTAACCACTTGAAAAAAGATACCTGTGATTTAATATGTTCTAATCTTACTGTATCACAGGGTGTTTATGTATGCACATGTCAATAGGCATTGCACTAGCCAGAGGGCTGTCCCTGCACATGGCCATGTTGCCAGCCTGGCCTTAATAGCAACTGCTGTTTCATTTTTGGATACTGTTCTGGCACCATTCTTGCCAAGCTCTTTGCTTTTGGTGGCTAGAAATATGTGTCCCTTTCTGTTAACTGGCCGGTTTACTGCCTTCAGCCTTCAGCATGTATTCAAATCATGTGTTGTCATGCAGGAGATGTATATTGGAAAGCTGACTCTGTGTTGTCATGAGAGCAAAATAGCAGTCCTTTTCCTTCAGGGAAAAAAGGAGCACATCTCTTAGCCAGCTCCTGAACCAGTATTTCAATCACTTTGGAAGCAAACAGACACTTAGCATTAACTACTCATAAATTTCCAATCATCA